AGTGCTTCTGCAGACGGGACTTTGCTCTAAACGAACCCAATCCTCGTTGTATGCAATTTTTGTTTAACACATCGGGGCCTGGGAGAGTTAGATTGGGTTTTGAGGTGTACGAAAGTACAATAGGGCTAGTTTTATGGACTTTGTTTGAGCTGGAGGGTTCCAGGTGGTTAAGCGCTGACATCTTTTTTTGCTTTAACAATACTTCTCCCGGGGTTGGTGGTGATAACGGCAGTAGTGAGGTTTCGTGATTTTGGATTTTCGGATTTTTGAGGATGGAGATTTCCTCCACAAAGAAACGGAGCAGCAGTACTACCTCTGTCCCAGGGCAACCCCGAATCCTACGGTTGATGATATAAATCCTGCATTACCTTAATGACCCTAGACTATGGGAATAATGGCCTATTCCTTGAAATGGGTTATGGGTAATGCAGGACGGTTATCATCAACAGTATGTAATCTCTCGATCCTCAACGACCGCTTGAGTGCAGGGTTGCCGCGGCGTGAGATACCGCTCCTCAAGCTGTGCAAAATTAACCTAGAAGCCCGGTCGCCTTTTACCCAATAAACAGACTGCACGAGACCATAATCATCTCAACCTAATATCCTGAACCATCGTGCTGCAATGAAAAGTAGGCTGCGGTCGTTATGCCCTTATCGCTGCGAGTACCTACCTGTAATATATTTCATGGGCCAACAGGCCCCTAAACTGCACTGCAAAATGTCAAACTGAACCCCCAAGCCCTATCGCCCTACAACCTCGCTTGAACTCTAAACCCTAAACTCTGCTTCCACAGACGGAAAAAGGGACGCTTAAAACAACAAAAAGCCCTAAGCTCTGAAGCTTGTGGAAATCTGGAGCTTACGAAAAAGGCACAAACAAAAACCTGGGCTTTCAGGTTTAATTCACCCGTTAGGACGTCTACTTGGAGGAACTGGGGACTTTGTAAGTAGGTTATAAGTAGGGGGTACAATTAGGGTAACTCCACTTAGGGTACTTCTACCCCTAAGCCCTAAGCCCTATCCCTACTTACAAGCTACTTACTAAGTCCCCTGGGCCTCCAAGTAAGTCTGGAGCAGACTCAGCGGCGTTCATTGAGTCCTCTTCGAGGGGGCCAAGGCCAGGGGACCACCTACCCTAAACAAGGATCTCAGATCTTGAAGTAAATTTCATTTCAGATTTTTTGAAAATTTTCCCTGGAACCTAAACCCGAAACCCTTAACCCCTCCCATAGGCGCTAGAACTAAATCACGCCTAGAGGGGCCACTTTGTCCAAAATGTGGGATCAGCTCGGAGTCTCCTCGGTTAGGGCGGCCCTACCAAGGCTCCGAAGCTTTAGACTTTTGGGGTTCGGGGTTTAGGGTTGGGTTTAGGGTTTAATGGAGTATCCGAGTCGAGGACAACGAGGCCTGCTGCAAAAAAATGGAGTATCCGAGTCAGGGTTGAAAAAAGGGTTCGATATAGCAAAACTATACTGGTGCAACGAGAAGTAGTAGCCGGGCTTGGGGCTTTACATAGCTGCCAAGATCAAAGGTATAGAATTTGCAATAGAAACGAGCACTTTTGCTTCCTGCTGCCAATACCACTTTGCATTAGGGTAGTGTTTGGATTAGCAAAGAGCAACTGAGGGTGTTACACGATGAAAACAGGAAGACAAGGCCTAGATGTAGGCTTCCACATGCTGCCGTGAGGCTACACATTGATTTTTCTCGCTAAACACTCCACGCATTGTTGGCAAACCTCGCGGCGAGCCTGGACCTCATCAGTTCACTATCCCTTCATCCGCCCGGAAGGTTAAGCTATTCTACGTAGGTCTTCAGCTAGGATCGCCACAGCCACGTGCAAGCATAAGCTGCCTTATACACCGATGGTGGGAGCCGTCTGCTAAGCGGCTGCCACATAGGGGAATGTGGGTCTCATCAGCCTCGGGGCTCCTTGACCTTGCCACTGCAGCGGTGTATATAGCCAGAGACATCACCACTCTGATGGCTCTTTCTTTACGACTTTTAACAGCAGTGTAGCGAGCGTGAACTTCAGAATCATCATGATTCCCAGTGCTCTGACTACGAATGACTGTGCAGCTCTTGAAAGTCATCATTTTCTTATAGTACGGTAATCTCTACTGTTTCATGTATCCCAGTACGAATGTATTTTGTGACATTGTAGTATGCTCATGTATGTTATTTCATGGTGTTATCGTTTGTTATTATAGTGTGTCGTAGTTTGTCATAGTTTGGTGTATGATATTATGTTGCATGTTGTTGTTTGTCATACCTATCATGTTATACCATTTTTGTTATCTTACATGGTGTGAGACTTATTTTTGTGTTTCTATCATATAGCTAGTGAATATTTTCGTTATGTGGCATCACTTTATGTTGAACTGCATGCCCAGGGTATTAACATGCCAAGTTGTACTGCGTTATGCTTTGGTACCTTATTCTATCTCTATTCTATCACGTCGTGCTAGATCGTATTGGAACGTATTGTATTATTTGGAAACAATTTTGATTCATTCTTGTGCCAATTTATGTCATGTAGTAGTAGAAGCAGTAGCAGTAGCAGTAGCAGCAGTAGCAGCAGCAGCAGCAGCAGCAGCAGTAGCAGTAGCAAAAGCAGTAGCATTAGCAGCAGCAGCAGTAGGAGTAGGAGTAGTAGTAATAATAATAATAAAAATAATAGTAATAATAATTTTCATAATAATCATAATAATAATAATAAAAATGATAATAATATTAATAATAATGATAATAGTAATAATAATACTAATAATAGTGTAGCATGCTATGTTGTACTATCTCGAACACTCGAACTGTGTTATGTTATGTTCTTGTTTGTTATATCGCCAGGTGTGGTATTTCATTGTACCATATCTTATTGGTTCTAAACGTAGTGGTTTGTAATCTCATTGTTGGATAATGTTGCCTCATGTAACAATGTGCTACAGGACATCATGTCCCTGTCTAACACAACACAATGCAGTATAACATGACGTGATGTAATGTCGCGTAGTACACTACACTGAAATAATGCAGGTTGTTTTGCAGCATGATGCGACATCGTTTATTGGAATACTGGAACTAAAGATGCACATAGTCGAACATAGAAGTTCCCATCAGGGTGTGACTTGAATTGCTGACGACGAGAGTTTTTTGGCTCCATGGCTGGAGTTGTGGCCGAACTGACGCGCTGTGCACTTGAGCCCTGCAAACGCCAAAGAAGCATTAGATATTCTAACTGTTACCCTACCTCATTTTACTTCATACCGGGTCATACCGGACAATAGTATGCTATATTCCATTCTATGATCGTTGCCGTAGTTGCAGTGGAATTTCCGAAGAAGTTCTGGCAGTTTTAAGCATTGTGAGAATAGCTCTAATCGCGCTAGCCCTAAACCGCGAGAAACTCAGGAGTAGACAACCCGAAACCCCTAAACTAACTCCCGAAACTGCCTAAGACGATGAAGTCTGGAACTCGCAGGGGGGTTCATCCCTTTCAGAGCAGAAGCCTCGATCTAACTGTACTCAGCCCTCTCCGTCAAAATCCCCCAACACTTCTATGAAAGGATCTAAAGCCCTGTAGTTCGTGCCCTTGCGTAGCCAGACCCTTGTGGAGGGCACGGCAAAAAGAGACCGAAACTCTAAAATCTGCAGCTTCCCCTTCGCCTTTCGCATCGCGAAAAGTTGTAGATGCAGCCTGAAGCCCGCCTCCTGCAAAGGCGGCTTCAGAGTTTTGGGATAAGTTTACGAAGGATCTATAAGGGCACTATCAGGGTTACTATAAGGATTCTATAGGGTTTGGGGGTTTAGAGCCTGATGTTTTTACGGGCAAAAGGATCATACCTGTGCCGGTGTCAGTTGGTCCATTCCGCGCGACCAGCCATGAAGTACAATACGATGCCATGTCCTGACAGCTGAAGTGGTGCGATATGTTTGAGAGAGGGTCCTACTGAATATGATTGCTGTTGTTCTCGTTGCTGTTATAGTTTCAACCTTCATAATTACTATATCGTATCAGTCTGTTATATACTCCTACTAATGATAGATACACCATAATTACTAGTTGTCGCAGTTACAAGTATTGTGCTTTGGGTAGTATTATTCATGGTAGTATTACTATTATAAACAGGACTACCACTGTTGTTGCTATAGCAGGGCCCGTAGTTACCATTATTCGGTTAATTAAGGGAGACTCTTCAGTTGTAATTCGCCCCTGCAAAGGATTGTTTGCATTCCGAGGACTACAGCTACGGCTGTTTCCCCTTTGCTGCGTGCTGGCAGAGCATGTTGGCAATGAGAATGAGAAAAGATCTAGCGCGCGAGTTAAGCTGCGGCTGGTTCCAGACGTCAGACGTCAGCTCGGGACGAGATCTTGACTAGATTTGGGCGCCTGCTGTACTATACTATACCACCAAGGTAGTCGCAACGAAACAACCAGTTTGCCACAGCTGACATTACTTGTTTGCATGTCGTGACTATTGCTAAACGACACGGATTTGGTGTACGTCCCTCGTGGCTTGTGGAATCCAAGCTCGGTGTCTGGAGCCTTTTCGCTCAAAAAGCCGCTTCTAGACTGTTGTCATTGTAATAGCAGGAGCAACAACAAGAAGAATAGCATAATCGTAGCAAATTCTAAGCTCCAACCGCTTGAGGGGCTTGTCCATGGGTAAGGTTAGCTATAGTGATTGCTGCAAAGCCAAGCACATCGCCCCGGCCCTGTAGGATATCGCAGCACACCCAGATAGCCAATCGTGTCCTGGCAAGAACGACCAGGAACTATACAACCACAACATCTTATGGAGTTTTCCCGAGCCTTTCAACCCGAAACACACACCCCAATCCAGACCTTAACAGTGACCCCAGGCTTGTCCCAGTTGTGACTGTTGAAACCCGATAACCACCAAACCAATGCCAAAACCTAACACCGAACACTAAACTTACAAACCCTAGAAACCTTGAGCCCTAAACCCTAAACTCACAAAGACGCCATCTGAAAATCTGCCATGGCTGGGGAGCCATGGTGTTCACCTGAGCATGTGCTGAGATCGCTGGCGTTCATTAACTCCAGCCAAAATTGTACAGGTATGTGTGTGTATATATATATATATATATACATACATGTGTACCTACATGTATGCACAATTACATACACACACACCTGGGTATATATATATATATATATATATATATATGTACACATACATACATACATACATATATATCTACATATATATATATATATATATATACCGACGGAGAGAGAGGGAGAGAGCCGGAGGGAGGGAGGGAGGGAGAGAGAGAGAGAGAGACATACTTATGTACTCGACATAAATAGATAAATCATATATATATATATATATATATATGTATGCATGCATCCAGACATACTTACCATGCAAACAAATGTATGTAGATATAACGTGATTAGGAGCTCTAGCTAATACTACAGTCTGCTACGGCAAAAATTGCCAACAGAGAGTAAATGTCAACAGTCATCGTCGTAATGATGACAATGGAATACCCATGTTACTCGCTGGTGCAGGTATGCACGAATCAAAACCATTTTGCATGGTAGCCGGGGTCGTGAATGCAGATGAATGGCGAGCAGCCCATCAAGGCATGTCTGGTCCCCAAACCCTAAACCCCATGAGTTCGATTCTATCTTGTGGCATTTAGTTAGACCTAAAGCTCACGCCCCACATGCCACACAACAGTGCACCATCTGCTCACTTTGCAGCACCACCGTCGGTCAGCTCCTTTCCGCACGTTTCCGATCCAAGTTGCATGATGCAGAACCCGACTCTGCCCACTCAGATATTCCCTACATGGGACTTTCCGAAAATTAGGGGACCTTATTTTATGGTCCTCATAATGCGGATCCTACTACTTAGGGCACTATAGTAGGGTTCCGTATTTTCGGACACCCCTACATGCAGCGCCTCAAGAATGCCTAAGCCCGAAGCTCTCCCCACAGCTGCTGTCCTAATGTCACCCAGGGCCGACTTGGAAGATGATGAGGAGGCCGCAGAAGCGATCACCACATGAGGGACTTCAGTTCAACAGGTTCCGGAGGATGGAGGTATATTATATATATATATATATATTTATTTATTTATTTATATCAATCAATTAATTATAACTTAATATATTCAGAAAACAAAACCGTTGGGAGAACGGGAGGCATCCGAGGACCGGCTTCGGGCTTAGTCTTGCGAGCAGGCGAACCAGGTCGAAGAAGCTACTCTACAAATCTATATTGCCCTTCTACTTCTTTACCACTGTACTATTGTGCTATACATAGTATTATACTACTATACTGTATACTATCATACTACTATACTACATCTGGGTCTCAGGGACTGTCTGTAGAGCTTCACGAGCTTCGAGCCCAGGGCTTGCTTTGCTCAGCCTCGCTGCTGCTTCCGACCAGGAAGCAAAGCCGGATGCTTGGCAGCTGGCCAAAGTGCTGGTGGTCCGAAGTGGACAAGGAAGTATATGTGATCTTACCACTGGGTGTCGCTCCCGACATGTTGTGTTGCTCGGCTTGAGGCATCCCAATGCTTACCACATTCATGCTGATGTGGCTCTTGTTTGCCATCCTGCGGTGGTTGGTGGGCCTTTTGGAATGTCCCCTTAAAGTGAGCTTGGTTACGGTGAACCTCAGCACAAATCCATGGCCCTATTCTGTCATGCAGGAGCCATCGTGAAGCTGTCTGGAAGCGACGAAAAAGCTTGGCTGCCACTCGAGCCACGGCTGTGTCCTATGTGTGACTCGCTAGTTTGCCCGGGATACCCGCGTCTTGTGATAATCAGGGCGATGACGAGGATGAGGATGAGGCTGGTGATGCCAATGGGACAGGAGGAGCACGCTGCCGGAGCCCATGCCAGTGCTGGTGCTGTTGGTGGTGGTAGTGGTGGTGGTGGTGCTGCTGCTGCTGTCGTATTGTATTGCTGAGGTAAATGCAAATGCTGGAGTCTGGAGTTGTACGTTCGTGGCCCCTGATTGCAATTGTGTTGTGGTTGCCCTCATACATATGTGCATCGGTCCTCACACAGAACCAGAATTACGCCGATTACGCGTAGTCGCACCATTAATCCACAAACCCACTATAACGCCTGGTCGAAAGAAGAACAGCTACTAGTGTGACAGTCGGTCTTAGACAGACAGAAGCCCAAGTATAGTGTAGTATAGTGAAGTGTGGTATAGTATAGAACATCACGATCGTACATTATATTATCATAGTACATCGGAGCATATTAGCGGATATTCCCGAACATTCAAGTAGTATGTGCCCAGGAAAAGATGCGATCTTGTCCTGGCCGGAGTGAGGACAGGTAGTGGGAGGATTCGGGATGTAGGGTTATTCGGAGCCGACACTAAGAGCCCAGCTGCAAAAGGGTTACTCGAAGCTTGGGTAGTATGGTGAAGTGTAGCTTCAACGGCCCATGTAACTCTGGGGGCATCACGTTCAGATTTCATGTTTCGGAGGTGTTGAAGACTGAAGTGGAGTAGCGGCTCCCTCCAAGCCCCGGTGTGATTGCAGTGTGCGTGCCTTTCACGAGGAGGAAATCTGTGAGGCACTTCGGAAGCCGATCAAAGTGCGCGTGGATTCGAGATCCATGTCCGCAGTAGCAGCTTGCGTTGCGCACCGCACTGTACCATATGGTAAAACATCGACATGTCAACGAAAAGCTGGTGGCCGGGCAGCAGTCACTTTAGTTGCCTGTGCTGAGAATGGAACTGACATCCTTATACTCAGGATCCCACTATTTAAATTTAGGGTACTATATTCGGGTCCCCCATGTTTGGAAACCCCCATATGTCCATCCCCCTGTCATTTATACACACTGAAACCGACTTAGGTTGCCTTCCACACATACCTCCGGTCCACAGACCGCTGAGGTCGTCGACACACGGGCCTTCCCACTGCAACCATGTGGAATGCCGAAGACGACGAAGATCAGGATGGCGCATTCCGCCAACCCGGCATTTTGGGGATCTTGGGTTTCCAATGGTGCAAGTGAGCAGAAAGGATGCTGGGACGTCACAGTTGCCAGAGGCATCGTGCAAGATGCAGATTGCGTTGTCATGCTCCGGCAGCACATGGCATTGGCAAGGACACGTGCCTATAGTAATTAATACTATCAACTCGAACAGGAAGCAGCGCACAAGCACAAGCAATCGAAAAGCAATCGAAAGAGGAAAACATCTCTGCCACGATGCGGCTTAAGGTTACGGTTTAGGGCTTGGGGTCTGCCGCGAAGAGTCTGGGTTCAGAAAAGGGTCTGCCAGGCAGATGGCAGCGACGAAAGGCTGAACGAGGCACGCGAGAAAGAGAAAGAAAGATCGATCAGACGCTTGGCTCAATGTCTTTAATATGGGGGGCCTCAAACATTACCAATACTATTGTTCTTCATATTGTTATAGTACCCCAAAACGCTATTGTACTTATTAGTAACGGCCCCTAATAGGGGTTTAGGCGGGCTTAGGGTTCCCCTTACCGTCTGTGCAGAGAGGGGGTTTCCCAGATCTGCAATGCGGGAGACTGCTGCCTTGCCTTACAGATGCGCCAACACTGAATGCCCGGAAGGTTCTTACCATCTCGGACCCAACAAGTTGCAATATCTGGACTAATGCTGCTGGATGGAGGCCCTGGCAAAACCGCCTTCCCACCAAACCCAGTAAACCCAAGGCGCTTGTCATATCCCCCGTGGGGTGGGTGTAGGTTTAAGTTTATGTAGGGTCTAGGGTTCATGCTCTAGGAGGCTAAAGGGGAACGAATGAGCCTGCACCCGAAATACTTATGATTCAGCCGCTTAATCAGGACCAGCAGGCCCTAAAGCCACTAAGACCCGACTTGCAAAAGCTCTCAACCTCAAAACCCCAAGAACCCACACCCTCCCAAGCCCACAACTGCCTTAATAACATATCGTACAGTAAGAGACTAAAGCCCAAGTCCTGCACTGAGGCTTCGAAGGGCCTACGACCCATCCGAGTGGTTGGATGGAAGCGTCGCCTCTGTGTGCCTCGGAAGCGCCGTGAGGGCGGTTTCAGGGCGTTTTCGGTTCCATAAGTTTCGTGGTTTCAGTTTCGGAAGATGAGGGTTTCCACTCAGAAGGTTTGGGGCTTTGTATACAAAGGCTTAGAGCATGTCCTGAGCTACTACAAGTACACCGGCAGAATACAGTCCCTCTCTCTCTCTCTCTCTCTCTCTCTCTCTCTCTCTCTCTCTCTCTCTCTCTCTCTCTTTCTCTCTCTATATATATATATAGTCTAGTTATACCCCACTATACGATATCCCTAAACTCTATTCTAAGTCTTCAAGGCCCCGTTTGCACCGGCCCGGATCAGCATGTCCAGGAAGAACTTCGGCATCTTCGTGGACACCATCCACGCCAAGCGCTTATGCAGGGCTTCGGGTCCCTCGGGGGGGGATGGGGGGGGGTCAAACCCGAAAGCCCAAAATCTGAAAGAGTTGAGGGTTTAGGGTGATCCTTGCCATGCGAGAGAGAAAAACCTCACGGGTTAGAGCCTGTAATGTTCAAGCCAAGCCCTATAAGCAGAACACGAGGCAAAACAAACCTCGGCTCGATTGGGATGTGCATAAGTTGTGGAAGGGTCGTCCAACTTGTCCCTGCAGAGTCTAGGCTAGGGCGTCCCAAGCCTTGTTCAGAGTTGATGGGCTTTCCTTCATGAGGTGCAGTGGTTCCCGCTTTGCAGTATGTGTGGTTTGGAACTTCTGGTGGTGCAATTCCCAAGGTTGGATTTTGGGAGTTTGAAATTTTCCTTATTTGGGTCATAAGGGACCCTATACATAAATATTTTTCAGGGTGTTTAAAGGCCAACCCAGTTCCGAAGAAGCCGCTGTCGCAAAGCCGGCTGGTGGGGAGTCGGAGCCGTCACGTCTTGACCCCCAGCGGCCCAAATCAATCTTGCCGTTGGTGCCTCATCACCCTAATATTTCAAAGCACTTCCCCTGTTCAGATAACCCCGCAGAAGCTGCTGAGGATGTTCGTGTGATGATTCCTGTCGGTTACATTCCAGACACCCTGCTTCTCAATGGAACGCCGGACCTGGATGTTGGCAGCTCCGTCCAGCCAGGGTCCCAGACAGTGCCTTCCTGTTGCTGTACTCGTATGGGAGTGTCCGAAAATAGGGGTGACGCTCATATTACTATAGTATCCTAAATAGTTGGATCCTTATTATAGGTACCCCCAAATTTACGGAAAATGGCATTTAGAGTCAAAGGAGCATCCTCCTCTTTAGATCAATCGAGAAACCAACTCCCCCCGAGCTTTCGCATAAGCATCACCCTTTGCTGGCAGCACTGGGTGATAGAGTTATCTAGAACCCCTATGTAGGCGGCTTCCAACAGGGTAAATTGCTCTCTTTCGCAGTTGGTTCGGTGACTGCGTGCACAAACTCGAGGCTCGTCTCATGCCAGCTGCACCAACCCAGAACAGGTTACATCCCATGCATGCATGCACGACCCAGTTTTCTGAACCTTCGAGCCGTAGAGCCTCTCAAGGTTCCGGATCTGTGGCTACCGTGGCAAGGACCACAAAGGCCAAGACCGATTCAGCTGTATCTCTGGCCGCATCCACTAATTTCTGGCGGGTTAGATCATCAGGTGATAGCAGTCTTGGACCAGGGATTTGGCGACGTATTCCGGGAAGGGGGCCCTTCTTATCTGATCAGTGATTTTGGGGCTTGTTGACCTCTTTGTGAAGCCGTGCTCAAGAACAGTTGCCTTACAATGGCATACCTTTTGGTCTGGCGCAAAAGGGAACTCGACCGATTGCAGCAGCAACTCCGCTGAGGCTCCATGCTTCCGCCAGCACCCCCGAAGGAGGAGATTCGTTTGGTGAAGCCGAGGGTGAACACAGCGGCATATCCCGCTTAGAGCTATGGTACGTACGTGTGGGGGGTTCCGCTGGAGCTCAGCGCCTTCCAGAGACTGACAGGAGGAAGAGAGGAGCACTGGCAAAGGCAAAGGCAAGATGCAGAAGGGCTCCAAAGGCGGCTCTTTGTCTCAATGATTCTCGGGATCATAATTTGGGCGAGCCTTCTTCAAGGGCGTAGTTGGTCCTAGAATTATGAAGCCCGCGCCTATGAATGTTGTACCTAGCTGTACAAGTTCGCATGCTACATGAAGCAACAATAGGCATTTGACTTTGCTTTTGTACCTATCTGTATATACGTATGCACACGCCGAGAAGCATGAATGCCACATGCAAGCGCACGTCGAGAGCCTGTTGGTTTGCCATTTGCTCCAAGTGTAAAGGGAACTCCAGAAAGTTGGAATATGGATTAATGGTAGGATCCCCTATAATTTACCTTAAAGGGGTTACGATAATGATATTCCAACTTTCTGGCCTCTACTGTAAGCCCAAGTGGATGCGTCGGACTCTGATGGAACGCCTTGCCTGCTGGGTGCTCTGAAAACCGACTTCCTTTTCTCAGGTGCCGACCGTGGCCGGAAAGGCACAGCAGTGTTGACCAGTTCATCCAGCTTACAGCATGTACTAAACGGGCCTGAATAAGCTAGTTGGCAAAAGCATTTCCATGTGGTTCTACCCATGCTTTCATGAGTTTCCAGCTGTGTTAGCATCGAACAGCGGGCAAGCTGCTGCAGGAGGTAGCACACTGCAAGCGGAGAGTGAGGGTGAGCACTGCCGACGACGAGAGATACAATGCCCCTTGACAGTCCGTCTTCGGGGTGTTGAGCATCTAATGGGTAGTTCTCAAAATTATGGTCCCTTTTAGGGACCCTCATTTTGACAACCACCCCGATATGTCCCAGGTCAGATTGATTTGCACCTTTCAGCGTCACTCTCTTCAGACCTCTGGTCTGTGGCGGAGCCTTCCTTCCAGGAGTTTTGTGGGGGTCTGGTGTCTTGAAAGGACCCCCCCGCCTTGGGCATGTATGTCCTTCGCGCAGGATACCGTTCCCGCTCTTGCCATTTGAACGCGACGTCTTATATGGGGGCCTTAGTAATTACATATACCATTTTCGGGGGCTCCTCTTCATCATAATTACAGCACAATGGTCCCAAAACCCTATTCTACTTGTCAAGGTCCCTTTTTGAATCCACCACTTTCAACACCACTGTCCCTTTTTCGGAGCACAGCACAACTCCTTACAGGTGGACCAGCGAATGGCGAGCAGACCTCAGGCAGTTCCAGCAGGGGCATGAGATTTTGGTTTAGGGTTTAGGGGTTTTGTTCTGGCAGCCAGCAAGCCCAGTGTCAAAAGGGTTTAGGGGTTTAGGGTTTAGGGTTTAGTGTTTTCCTGATGCAAAAAAAGGGTTTAGGGTTGACGAGTCTGCGAATCCGGTGTGCAAAACTTGTTGATGCTGTTTTTTGGGGTTGCGATGCATGAGCAATCGACACAGTGTTGGTTAGTTTGTGGCGGCCCCGACATTTGCTAGCAGCTCCTGTGCGTCCCCAGCTACTCCTGTTATTGAATTGCCAGCCATATGGAAGCCTTTCCACGGGACTTGCCAGCTTAAGAAGATCTGTTACCTCAGCGGTGGAGTCTTGACAGGCCTTATAAAGGATCCCAAGAACTTCCCAGCGGGATCTGCCTGCCTGCATCCTCGTGAAAATGGGAACGAAGAGTAGAAGAGTCTACCAAAGCAGAACCACAGTAAACCCTGACTACTCAAGCTGTTTCCCGACACCCTTGTAAAGCCTTAAACCCTGAATACTCACGCTGAATACTCAAGCTGTTTCCTTAAACCCCTACAGCCTTAAGCCCTGAATGCTTAAACTGCTTCCGACACATGGTTCCATGCCGGAGGCTACTCCGTTTGGGTGCCCGACCGTGTGCTGGAAAGCGAAAGCACCCTCGCGCGGCAGGCGCCATGATCCCCGCATGAGAGAACCTGGTGCACTTTGGTGGATGTTTTTGGGGGGCACGACCTCGTGTGAATGTCCCAGCTGATTTCCTGTGTCAAATGTGGATGCAGATGCAGATGCCCGGCCCTTGTGTGTGTATATACATTTTCTTGACATATGTAAATGTATCATACATGACGCATGTGTTCTTCGGTTGTGAGGAGTTGCATTCGATTTTCTTACACATGTGCTTTTTGGAGCACGACGGCACAACAGAATAGATGGAACCTTCGGGGTGTTGGGATCGTGTCTTCCTCCCTGAACCCCATATGAGCCTTAATGAAGCCGTGCCTGCCTGCATACGAGTGCGCAAGTCGAAACCCCAAGCCCTAAACCCGTCCGAGCGGCTTGCAAGGAGAAGTTTGAGGTGAATGCCCTGCACGCCACATACCTTGAGGAACAGTGGCTCAGCGGCACGGGGTCCTGTCATGCTTGCCAAAGCAGTAGCGCTCGGATTACATCTCCTCATATTGCCCCAAAATTGGCTCCAGAGCATTGCCGTGTTGTTTCCATACATCCCGGAACCCTCTAAGCCAAACCTCGCATGGAATGTCCGAGTACGAGCTCCGAATCCCTGAAACCTAAAATGGCTCAAGGCCTTTAGGCTTTCAGCATCTCTGGGCTCATTCCTCCTGTGCCACCGGCCATGAAACTGGTCTATGCTGCGATAGTCCATCTCAGCGTCATGAACATGGTCGGTGGCGTGCAGGTCTGCGGCAACTACTGCGGACCCGATTGGTGTGGTGGAGCTGATGCCAACGAGTGCAGGGACGTGCAAGGAGCTTCTTGTACCATGGCCAGCGACTGCGACTTCTCAGGGCCCACGGACGGCTCCTGCGCAGATGGCTGCTGCCGCAGCCACGACATGTGCTGTGGCTCCTCAAATCGACGTGTGTGCAACCAGATGGTCATCAATTGTCTGGAGAGCTGCCCCTCTGGTCCCTTCAGCCCGGGTTCCACCTGTATGCGCCGCTCGGTCCCAGTGCCCGTAGATGTCGTGAAGTGGGGCATGCAGCTGAACCCCTTCGACTGTTGTGGAGCCTCTTGCGGTGAGAAATCCGGTGGGAATGTGACTGGTCCCGTACAGAAGCCGAACTCAGAGATCCTCCCCTGAGTTTCCGCCAGGACCTCCAAGCCGTCTAGGGTTTAGGCTTTAGGACTTTAGGATGCCTAAGCAGGACACTTGGCCCATTTGTGCTTTCACCTTTGCAATCGTAGTGGCAGGTCCAGAGTGATGCTGCTTAGAAGAAGCCTTATTGTAGGGGGCACAGGCCTATGGCTGCCCAACCCCAAAGGTTTCGATGAAAAGGTGTGCTCGAGCCCGGCTCGCACTAATGTACAGTCATGTCAGTGGCAGCACTCTGACAAAGAACACGCCCTCATGGTAAGAAGAAGCTGGCGGAGTCCGAGTGTGAAACCCTAAATACAAGAGTGAGAGTCTTTATTTTCTTGGATGCTGTCGAAGTGGATGTGTGTCCATTGTGTGTAAGCCGACTGCTGGCAGACTGAAAAGTCACTACACCTAATAATGTCCTAAATCCTGAATTCTGAACTTGAAGCGCTAAATCAGAAATCTAAGCTTTGATCCTTGTTCATTCCGCGTGAACTCGGTAAAATCCCTAAGTCCTTCAATCTTGAACCTCTGAGCCCCAGGCGCTAAGTCTGCAGATTCTACCCTCTGGAACTGGGCTTGTAGTGTTTTATAAAACAGTAGTGTTTGTAGTACTGTTTCATAAAACACTACATGCCAGAAGGCCTTAAACCCAAGTTTGGAACCCAAGTGCCGAGGTACGGGCAGACAGACCGCAGGCGGCAAATCTTTTTGAAGAGTCTTTGGATGAGTGACTCTCGTGGTTACACATGTCCAATCTAGTACAACAGCGCCACAAGCCTTAGTGATGCCAGCTAGGAGCAATGCACAGGAACATGTAAATACCCAGCATCAGTACTACGAAACGGTGTACTGCTCGCGTCAGTGTTAATTACCATAACATCGTTTAACGGAACTAACTACCCTCTCAGAGTCTGAAAAAATAGCCAGGGTGTGTACAGAGAAGGAGAGTACTTCTGAGAATCCTGGACAGGTTGCAAGCCTCTTCTGGAAACACTGATTCACTTTTCTGAGCTTAGTGCTTCGAAAGGTTCATGATGAGGTTAGTTTAGGATGAAAGCACCGCATGTTACGGAAGGCGCACAGGGCCTTGGTTCAACGTAGCTTAGGGGTACTTATTTTTTTTTAATTTTTGGTTATTAGAATCCCTAAGAAACAGCTAAAATTATAATTTTTGCTAGGGTTCTAAGTTCAGTATAGGTAGCTTTTGCCTCAGGGCCACCCTGGCGAGAAAAGGCTTCACGGTGGTCGCCCCTCGGCCGACTGCGTTGTACATATCCTCGGGGTGTTGTCAGGGTGTAGTGCTGCTATCATAGTATGATGACCGTATGACTGTAGCATACCACAGTATATTGAAGTTGTCAAAGCATGGTCAGGGTATAGTAAAGTATATCAAAGCTTAAAACGGTATATTCTCGTATATTATAGTACATCATAGAGCTGCTCGGAACTCTGGCGCCGCACCTTGCTTCGTACCTCGCAAGGATTATGCGACTTCCTTGCAGCTGGCCCAGGCGACTTGGGACTCTCGGGATTTTGCGCTTGTGGTTTAGGGGTTAAGGGATAGGGGTTTCGTTTTTGAGCGAGCTCATGGAATTTCACAGTCTTGCAATCAGTCAGTATAGTAAGGTAGTGTCGTATCAGATAGTGTCGTCGCGAGTGTCAGCTCGACTCCTCTCCTTGCTTTGAAGAAGCGGGGGACAGAGGGGCTCTTTGCTGTAACCGGGCTGCTGGACAACGAGACCTGCTGCAAAAAAGGGGGTAGGGTTTAGGGTTCAGGGGTTTGAGTTATAGGGGGTAGGGTTTCGGGGTTTAGGGTTTAGGTAGAAAGATGATTGCGGGTCGCAGACTGGCTAGACTTCAGTCCATTAGCAAAGCAGGGTTTAGATAAAAAGGTTTCAGGGTATCTGCGCGTAGAATGTCATAGAAAAGTTGTCGTAGAGACGACTCTGAATCATTTGGAGAAAAGCTATGGTTTCTCAGCACGCGTCCGGCAGCTGAAGTTCAGCAGTTGAGGTCGACGGTCCAGGTGGCATTTTACAAGCACGCCCCTTTTGCACTGTAGCCTCAGTCAGATGAAGATTTCCGAGTGCTTTTGCTGAGCTTTGGTTCCTGCACCCTTTCGCGTACCTCTCAGGCCACTCAGGTACAAATAAAGCCCTCATGTGACATAGACGTCTTGCAGCATAGGATAGTACAAGTAGATTCAATATTCGAAGTTTGACGTTTTGGTGGTGATGGGAGGGCTCGACTGCCCAGTGCTTAGAGTCTTACAGGGCCTGTCTTCCCGGCCTTCCCGTCTTCCTAGACCCTCCATCTACCCTCTATTAGACCCTAAATTCCCCTTATTTGGGACCATATACCCCTATTTGAGTCTACAAGGAGGGTCCTGGTAATAAGGATCCTACTATTTCGGTTACTATATTAGAGTCCCTTATTTGAGGGTACAAGGAGGGCCCCGTCTTCTGCCGCGTCTTCTGCAGGCCATCAAGCCCAAGACCGAAGCCAAAGCTGACGTGACCACTGCGCTGAAGCCGACGCCCGTGTGGCTTACCTTTGAGAGCCGCCGATGCCTGACAGAAATAATAGAAGCTATATATATATATATATACACACACACACATATATATATATAGGGGCCTTAACAGTTAAAATAGGGTTTGGGGGGCAGATTATACTATATCTGTAAAAAGGAACCCTAGTCAGAATCTTGGTAATTACCCAGGCCCCTACAAAAAGCCATCAGATGAAACTTGCAATGCACTTCTTGCCGCAGGAGGCCTTCAGGACTTTAAGGACAGCGGTGGGATGGTTTGGGAGTTTCCGAAAATTAGGGGTACCTTATTTTGGGGTCCTTATAATAAGGATCCTACTATTTGAGGTACTATATTAGGGTCCCCTATTTTCGGAAACTCCCATTTGGCCTTTTTCCACAGCCTTGACTGCTCAGGGGCTTAGGGTTTAGGGTTTAGGGCTTGCCTCTAGCTCAGGAAAGCTTGTCGGCAAGATCCAGACCAGCCCATCGATGACGACTTCCGAGAAGCTTCGGCTTGGGATGGCATTGGGATGACTTGGGGCCAGGTCTTCAGAAACCTACGCGCCTTACCCGGGCTATACACCACGAAGCAACCATAAGAAGAAACCCCCAACTCTAAGTCCTAAACCCCTGAACCCTAAACCCTCTAAGTCCTAAACCCTCAAACCGAAAGACCTCGTCTTCTTTGTCCGAGTTACGAAAAGCGTAAGCCCCTTAAACCCTTAATAAACCCCTCCAGAAGTTCAGGTTTCCGTCACCACGTAGGGGTACGTAGAAATATTTTTAATCTTTGGATATTATAATCCCTAAGAAACAGCTAAAATTGAAATAATTTTAATTTTTGGTTATTATAATCCCTAAGAAACAGCTAAAATTATGATTTTTTGCTAGGGTTCTAAGTTCATTATAGACCAGGAAGCCTTGAAACCGCAAAATCCTGCAGTCTCGAAATCGGGTTGGGGTCTCCTTGTCCTTCGCTGCGTCTTGGGTGAACGGGTTTCGGCTTTAGGAGATTTTGGTTTAGGGTTTAGGAGGTTTGGCTTTAGCATTTATATAGGAAATTTGGGTTTGGGGTTTAGAGACTTGGGCTTCGGGTTTAGGAGGTTTGGGTTCAGGGGTTAAGAGTTTTGGGCTAGATTTGGGTTTAGGGTTTAGGATTGGACGCTGGTGAACCTGATGGGTGGGTTCCCGGGGCTGGACACTTACGCCAAGAAACTTACGGAAGCGGGGCGGTTTCAGAACAGCTCCGTTGGTGCTAGCCACAACGGCTTCTACCTGCTGAGCGTGCGTGGGCCTGGTTCTTGGAGTGCCGCAGTAGCGAACCAGGTGTTCCGGTGAGCAGACCTCGCTCTTTCATAAGTTTGATGTGGCATAGGTACGAACTGTGCCGATCTATTAGACCTATTGCAGAATAATAGAAGAGGGCAGCTGTTACCTGAAAGGCTCAAACGCCATGCCCTCTAGAGACCAACAGGAATCCGGACCCTTGGCCGACCTTGTTTGCAGTCCTGCATGCTTTCCCACTTCGATCCAGTCGGGTACTTGAGGAAAGAGCGCTTGGCCGTGGACGCTGCCCTCGCGGTGGGCCTTCCATGGATTGTCATTTTGAGCTTCGCATCTTCGATCTTGTGTGGTTTCGACTTCGAGAGTTGCAGGTAGTGGTGTTTGACGGGTCCAGGTTCTAGGTCATAGCGCAATCGTTCCGGAACTGTGCTTCAAAGTGCCACCTTTCAAAGGGACAGGGTCGATAGAGGCAGTGTGGATGGAAGCAGGAGGAACAGCCTGCAGGCTGATTTTGCCAATCTCATGCGGAAAGCTGCAATCGGAAACTTCATAATGGGGGGGGGGTGGGCATTCGGTAGGGGAGGGGGGGGGTTCGGCTAGTATATGGTCTGCAAATCCATATTGAAGCATCGTGCACACCAATAGCTGTTATCCGAGACTGTCAACACGTCCAAAAATGCAAGGCAGGACAGTCAATGTAAAGGCAAAATCATCTGCTCCTTTTGAGTTGTCTTGTTTGGGGACCGAGTTGTAGGCGCCATGACGAGATAGATTTAGAAATTGGGGGGGTTCTGGCATCAACAACAACCCAAGGGTAAAAGGATGGACCCTTAATGCGGACCCCTAGGTATATACCCTAAATATAGCTGTTATATACCCATTATATAGCCCATTATTTATAGGGTAGGGGTCCCCATTAAGCGTCCCTCCTTTTCCCTTTGAAACAAGGCAAGGCCATTCCTTTGAACCATTGTCCGAAGACCCCGTACCGTAGCCGTTGTTCCTAGCGAGTGTAAGTGCCACATCTCGATAGATCTTGTAGCAGTTCGTTTCTGGTGAGGGTTGTCGGAAGACTTAGAACCGAACCCACGCGAGAACTACACAGCCGTTTGTGTAAAACCCTGCAGGTCAACCTTGTACTTTAGAACTAACTAGGTAGGGCTTTGGGACATTTTATATTTTCCCTTATTGGGTTTAGGAGGATCTTATTTACTAATATTTTTCAAAGGCTTTAAAAGCCCCACCTAGCTAAGTGTTAGCAGTTCTTGGGGCCTTTTGTGCCATCAAGACGTGGCGATTTATTGGTCGAGCTGCAAGCCCTTTTTTCTCGCTTCCGCGTCCGTAAGCGACAGGTGGCAAATGATGCCATCCAGGCAGGGCTTGCATGGGTTGTATAGGGCCTGGGGCCCACGGACACAGGTCTGAGTTGCTCCCCGGTGGCTTTAAACAAAAGACCATTGAAGCAAGGGCCAGTTTTTCTGGCCAAAACCCCACAGTGCTTGTGCTTCGAAGTGGCGGCAGTTGACGTCGGCGCTGTTTTCGGACTCTTTCGATTTGGGTGGATCTTGGCATAATCGGGAGCTCCTCACAATTTGTTCAGGACGGCGCCAACATCCGAAAAGTGGACGTCAACGATGACAAGGTTCTGATCCGGCTCTCGACCGACGGCGGTTTGCAATTCTGAAGGATTCCGAAACCTGATCAGATGGGAGTTTCCGAAAATGAGGGATACCCTATATTCGGGTCCTTAAAATAAGGATCCCGCTATTCAAGGGTTTTTTCTATATTAGGGTCCCCTATTTTCGGAACCTCCCAGATCTCTACACCCTGAACCACGACACCTTACAGTCTCTAGCTGAGCACAATCACGGCGAGCCCCTTCGAATACCCAATCCTCCAGAGGGTTTAGGTACGGTTTAGGGTTTATAGGTTTCTAGGGTCTACCAGAACCCTCACGTACGTCGTAATGAGGAATATGATGCTCCTCTGACAGGCACTTAGGATCCCGGTAGGCGTAGTGGGAAATTTAAAGGTTTCATGGAAAAAGGGGTATCATTGTGGTCGCTGGGCGCGTGCTTTTGTGATCTTTTGCACTCGCTGGGAGCGAAAATCAGCAGGAAAAGTAGCTACACCTTGAAGCCCTGAAGCATATACCTTCAAGTGCGAGAAAGGCTAGAACAAACCCAAACGCCAGACCCTCCCTCGGATCCAGATTTGCACAGGCTGCTGTTGCCGAAAGCACTTTTAAAACTCACACACGTGCCCTCCTCAAGCCTGCCGTTCATGATTCATTATACTGTATATACTCTTGCAGAGGCAGCTGGCACAGAAACGTCATCTTTAATGAGGCTCTGCCGGAGCCGTTTACCTGGACCCTCTTTTTGTCTCCGCTTACGAGTGGCTAGCATGCTTACGAACCCATAGCAGAGCACGGAGGCTCCAGTTGAGATGCTTTCACGTTTGTTGCTTGGACGCGCACGGGGCTGTCTGCAAGCCTCAGTGGTAACGCGCCGGCGAGGTTAGTCCCAGGTCGGCTGCTGCATTTTCCTGCGAAGCCCACTATTCTCTATTCACATCACGTTGCAGCTGCAGGCGGATGCGACGACATGAAGCTTTTTAGCTTTTTGGGTTCCACGACAAGAAACTGTGTGTCCACTTTTGGGCTGCCGCACCTGGAGATTTCAGCCATAGACTTAGACAGAACGTGCTCAAAGCAAAAGGAGACTGCTCCCAGACTGCTTGGGGCTAGCTATGCAGATTTGGTTGTCGAACTTGTTGCCTAGCAGTGTTATGAGATGCTTCTCACTCGCTGCACATGACAGGAAGCGAATGAGTGTCTGTTTGTCTGTCTGTCTGTCTGTCTGTCTGTGCGGGGCGGCGGGAGAGGGGGTGTACTGGTACTGCAGGTCTCTGTTAAGACTGCAGGTCTCTACAGCTATGATCGACTCAAGGTGACAGACAGAAAAATAGGTGTAGCCCTGGGCCAACTTGCCACGTCGGAGCGGCTCAGCGGGGTCTTGGGTGCCTTGCCTGCAACCCCACACCACGAGGGAGTTTCCGAAAATAGTAGTAGGATCCTTATTGTAAGGATCCCAAAATAAGGTACCCCTCATTTTCGGAAACTACCACGAGCCACACTAAGCCCTACACCCGAATTATCTATTTCACTCGAGCTCGAACCCACCAACCTTAGTGAAACCCTGAACCGCCAATGCTCCTAGAAGCTCGACCTATCCACCCTACAACGCAAACCCGAGACCCGGACCCTCAAATCCTGAAGCCTTGAGCTTGGGTACTGCCCCAAGTCTGTAACAGTTCGCCCTTAATATGACCCTTTGCAGACTGTCACAGGATGGGCAGCAACCAACCTTAAGCCAGACACTTCGTAAACCCGAAGACCAAAAGCCACCACCACCCGCAGTCCAGTAACGTCGACCCATGACTTCTGAAACCCCGAAACAGCAGCACCTCCATTAAGCCCTCATGGAGCCCTGTCAGGAACTCCCCAAAGCTGGAGGGAATGCTTCAAGGAGCCCCTATGCCCGAACCGATGTAAGGAACCCTAAACCAATTGAACCCTGCAGAGCCAGCCAATTCATAGTTTGCTCCTACCTTGCGGCGTTTGCGAACCTGATGGAGTGAGGGATGACATGGTGGACTCACGGAACAGGCTGTCAAACGGGGATGCACTTCAGGTAACAGACATACGTAAGAACGGTCGTGGTGATGCGGCTTGCGGGGGTCGCATGATGTTGAGAAAGAAATTGAGGATGGTACTGTTGACTTTGACAGGGACCACGGGCTCTTTCCACTAGGTGGAGGATTCTACGCGGGCGGAAACAGGAGTTTCAAAGCAACAGCCAATATCCCGAAACCGCAAAGCCTATAAACCCTGAAGGCCCCATACTGTAGTAGTTCCTTTTTTGGGACTACCCCACCGGATTCTATATGTAAAACCCCTAAAAGGAACTACTTTGGGGCCTCTGGGTAAAAAACCCTGAGAAGAGCGTCGAAACCCTAAACCCTAAATCCTAAACCGTAAATCCTAAATCCTAAACCCTAAATCCTAAACCCTAAACCCTGAGACGGAGCGCTCCTCACGATCGGCCCAGGCAAATGTCGCAAGCCTCGCGGGAGTCCTCGATCGAAATCCCAGGTGCTTGAAAAATGGGAGGGCTTTAACAAAAAATAAAAATGGGAGATGGGGTAGGGTTTTCGAGTTGAGGGTTTAGGGTTAGGGTTCAGGGTTTAGGGGTAGGGTTTATAGAGTTTAGGAGTTTAGGGTTAGGGTTCAGGGTTTAGGGGTAGGGTTCATAGAGTTTAGGAGTTTAGGGTTCAGGAGTTCAGGGTTTAGGGGTTGGGTTTATAGAGTTTAGGGTTCGGAGCTTGAGCTCCAATCAAGCCTGTGTAAGAGGGTTCAGAGATAGAGGTTTAGGGTTGGGGTCTAAGGTTTCCGGTTTAGAGCTTAATTAAGGTGTGGTTGAGGCTGTATAGGCTGGGTGTTAGGTTCCGGGCATGTGAAGGTCTACGGCATGTAGGGTTTGAGTTTTAGGACAGCGGCTTAATCAAGTCCAGATGTAAAAAAAGGACAGCGGCTTAGGCGTCCTGTGCTGTTTGGGGTTCGAGGGCTCGCTCTTCATGTCGTCAAGAGCCGAGTCGCCGCCTGAAGCTGTGACTTGTGTATGGATGTGCGAGTGTGCCACAACTACTCCGCGACAAAGCCCTATATAGGTCACCGTCACAATGTTGCAGGTGCTCACGTCCATCACGTAAGACCGACGCCCACCGAACACAATGAATTCTGGCCCTCGAGGAGCCCAAAAATCTCCCACAGATGCCGTGGCAGCTCTGAAAGCCGAATTCGATACCTGACCGCATAGCTGTCTCTGTCACGGCAAGGGCCTTGGAGGTAGTCCATATGACTTTATGGGGCTTGAGGTTGAAGTGGTTTCAGATGAGGGGAAGCCTTAGCCTTAGTAGCCTTTGAGGAAGTGATTCAGTTAGTAGTGCTGGAATCGCATTGCAAAGCTTAGTTAAAGCCTCCGCGCAGATGCAGTTGAGATCTCGCAAGGCGACACCACAACGTGCAATCACCTTAGGCTTTGAGGCTTTGAGGCTTTGGGGAGGAGCCAAATTTGAAGCTGCGATCTGCTCTTCTTTGTGTGGCTTGTGTGCACGATGTGGTTGCTCGTCTAAGTGCGAGCGAAGACCGATGTTTCATCCATTGGCTCCACCGGACTACACTTCCTGGCTTTCCAGATGTCATCCTGTCGCGGAGAAATGCCCAAAGGAACTTTCACACTCGACCCTTGAACTAAACCACAACCCTATACAGAGACCTTACCCCCACCTCCGCCTCCCCAGGAAGGGTTTGTGGATAAGCTACGAGAGAAGTTGGATGACTTGGAGATCACCATGCAAACGCAGCAGCAGACCCAGCAGGCGCCTTCAGAGGGTGACTTTCAGCTCGTTTTTTTCGGGAAGCCATTGACCTATTCAGGTTCTTTGGGCTCTTCTGTTGGTGTTGGGGTCTGCCTTTCATATCATGAGGAACCCTCCCTCGGGTATGGTTTGCGGAGGTCCTCCTCTGTCTCTTCTCGAAACCTCACATGCTTCGCACATGACCGGCTGGCGTTTGCAGGCGGCAGATGACTACACCAGCTCGAGAAACACGTTCGGAGAGGCGCGCGTGGATACTTTCGGGCTCATGTAGGCATGTTTGACCATCCCCACTCATTGAGTGAAGCAGCACAAGAAGAGGGATTGGGAGTCGCTTGGGAGCTTTTTGGGTTGACTCGTAGGTATAAGGGAAGCTATTTCCTTACAACCGAGACATTGTGTGACATTGCATCTGTCTTGGTGTGTGGAGGCTTCCCCTGCGGGAAGGCCAGCTACAGCTAAAGCCAATCTGAACCTTGATGACGTGAGATGTCATGGAACATCCGAGCTTGGAATTCCTTTCGGCATCCCCTGGCCCCAGATCTCGTAAGTGTCGGCCGGTGCCGGTATGTCGAAGGGTTGAAAACCGCACAGTCTGATGCTGTCTCGTTGTGGTGACATGGGAGATATTGGAAGTCTACGGAAGTTCTACGGTACTATTTCAGTAAGTTGAGGGGGCTCCAATCAGTTCAGGATCCTCCCCCGCTTTCGCTCAGATGATGCTGTCTTGCAGGAGCAAGGTTGGGGTTTCCGACAAGAGGGGACCCTAATATAGCACCCTAAATAGTAGGATCCTTATTATAACGACCCCAATATAAGGTACCGCTCATTTTTGGAAACTCCCATGTTCTGTTCATGGTTTGGGGATGCGGTCCAAGCCTCGTTTCATTGGAAAAGCAGCTCACAGTTTCAGCACGCAAGCCACGGTAAGTCCAGAACCCTAAACGCCGTCAAGGTGAAACACAGCCAAGGCTATTCGACTCAACTCGTGCTTAAAAGCATAAGTACACATCCAAGACTGTTCGACTCACATCAAGTTCAGAACGAAACACAAGCATTTCAAACCTCGCCTGGCTTGTGCGAGTATCAACGCCGAAAAGCTCCCAAACTCTAACCCTACTCCGTGCTTTCAGGCAGACACCATCTCCGGATCCCGCAGCATCTCCCGGCTGTTCCCCATCTATGACGATCCCATCATGTCGAAAGAGGCCGGCTCGATCGGGCTTGGGGGTTCTGTGCTTTGAGGTTTTAGGGTGGGTCTATAAGTTCGGACTAATATGCCTTTTCAGTCAGGTCTCTCAGTCGCATGCTCAGAAGCTAGGGGCACTGTCACGAGCACAGTCCCAACTGGCGGAAGAGCGGCAAACTACCAGGCGTCCAGCAAGCCTGCAGCAAAACGCTTGTGGGGTCCGGGTTTAGTGTGTGGTTCTCGCGTCGTGAGAGGCGCTCGGAACACTATTAAGTGGAAGTAACCAACACCCTTTGGTGGTCGATCCGATCCCGTGGTAATAATTAAAAGGAACAGGGATCGCAACAACGACAACCACCAGCACACGAAGACGACAACAACCGCAATCACTGCAGCAATCAAAACAACGATTACAATACCAGCAGCAGCAACAGCAAAGGCAGCAGCAAGACACACACAACGAACCCACTATCAAGGCGGACACACACACACACACACACACACACACGCACGCACACACAAACACAAACACACAAACACACACACACACACACACACCAGCAACCACAACATCCATCATCCACAATAACCATCATCCACAACAGCCACAATGGCCACAATGACCACAACGGCAACTTCACCAACAACAAGACCGAAAACAGCAACAGCAACAGCAACAGTAGCAACAACAACAACGACGATAACGTGGACATGAACATCAGAGAATCGCACGGCACCCAGGCTAGCATTTACATATACATGGGCACCACAAGCAGCAGACTTTTCACCATCACCATCATTACCACCATCCTTATGTTCATGACGGTTCCCACCAGCAACATCATCAGCCACGTTGCTTTTGTTTAAGAAGCCGCAGTTAAATCTTGCTGAGTCGCGATGAGTAACTCATGGCATCAGAAAGCCGGACAGGTGCGCAGTGTTTCAAAGCCTTCCATCAGCAGAAAGCAGGGCAAGATATGTGTGTCAGTGCAAAGCGAACGTTGTGTTTAATGGCAGGTTTTAAGAGAATACACGGGCAGTCTTGGGCATGTCAGCTGCCTTGCATTGCTACTCAACATGAACACACAACCTTGAACTCACGAAGCGGCCTGGTTCGTAGGTGTCAGGCTGTCTCTTTGTGCATAGCTGCGGGTGTTCCGAGGCACAATCCGAGGATGGTCTAGCCGACAGCTATCCCCTGTAGCCTATGAAGAGTTTGGAACCCCATACTACATGGGTGGTTGTCAAAATGATGGTCCCTATTTGGGTACCCTAAATATTAGGTGCCGTATTATATTAGGAACCCCAAAAAGGGGACCATAATTTTGACAACCACCCATTTAGATCATAGTAGGATCCTTATTATAAGGAATCCCAAAATGAGGTACCCCTATTTTCGGAAACTCCCACATAAGCGTGGCAACCCTGAACCCCGAGTTTCCTGGCAGGTCGCCAAAGCTCAGGAGCCCTCGGCACTTCAGGAGCCAACGCTCTTCTTAGGGGTACTTAGAAATATTTTTCATTTTTGGTTATTATAATCCCTAAGAAACAGCTAAAATTGTAATTTTTGCTAGGGTTCTAAGTTCAGTATAGTCTTGGTTAGCACAGGGGCTTTCATAGCCACCCATACCATTTGGTGGGGTTCCTTATTATTATGGCTGTATAATGTGCCCCAAAACGCGATTCTAGTTATTCAGGCCCCGATTAGTACTCCTTTTAGAGTTCAGTAGGGGGGTCTGGGTTGGTACGGGCGTGATGTTAGGGGCAGCTGGCTCCACTTAGTCACATGTGCCTGGTGTAGCTCACCTGGAGCATACGAACATACATGTCAGATCATGTCAGTGCACACACATACATATATTACACACATTATATATATAGAGAGAGGCTATATGGTGTATATATATATATATATATATATATATATATGTTCATTGTAACTGTACATGTATATGGTATATGGGGTAGCCCACTGGGCGGGGGCCCATATGTATATATATATATATATATACAGATATATGCATGCCTGTGCATGTTTTGGAAAGCTGACGACAGGTTCTATAGTTCATGGTAAGTAAGAGCAACGCGCAAGCCAAGCAATAGACAAAGAGCAGCTTTCCCTCCACAATCGAGTCTGCACTCGACATTGTCCAGTCAGCCCACAGGCTTCCAGAGTAGGTGCAGCGACGGTGTGTCGTTGCTTCGCTTCTCCTCGTTGTCCTTGCCTGCTAAAGTTTAATGCTCAGCGGTGGAAACTGGGTTTCACCCCTTTCTTCGGATTGACATTAAGGAAGGGAAGGAAGGAACGAACCAGCCAAGAAGCGAACGCACGAACGAGCGAGCACGTACGCAGTGACAGTCACATGTTCACCATGTAATTTCGATGATCGGCCTTGCGAATCCATGATTCCCTGAGTGCTAAACTCCAAACCAGAATAATCAACCGACCGTGCACAACGAGATCCTCCCCGACTCCCCGGCACCAGATGTTCCAGCCCCCACATGGCCAGGAACACCGTCAAAATCGCCAGGTGAGAAAAGCCCCTTGGATAGCAGACCGGTCGTTGCGGCCAGCCTTGCAAAAACCTAAGCCCTACGGAAGTCATGAGAGTCTATACGTCCGTTTGGGACCGGGAGTTAAAGCCGCGAGTGTCCTGGCTGATTCTGGATTCCGGATCCCCAAGCCTGTGTCTTTCGGCATCGCTCGTTGCTAGTCGACTTTAGTATTTAGGGCTTTTCGTTCTGTAACGGTTTCAAAAATACTGGTGGAAAGCCGAGGGCGTCAGGCGCACAAACTCCTTGATGGCCGTAAAGGATTCAGAAAACAGAAAGACTACTGGCACGCCGGCAATCATGTCCGATGTCATGCACTCGCCTAAGCATTTATTCCTTCGCCAAGGACAACACGAAGTACCTCCCTCTGGGCTGCTTGGCAGAAGATGATGTTGGAAATAAGACTTCTTTTGCAACACTATCCCTGTAGACCACTGGGGTGGAAGATCGGGCTGGTCAGCTCCCCTTTCGCGCCTTGCAGCTGGGTTTGGGTGAAAAGCCTCGTGTCGTCAACGGGACAGACCGTATAGACATACATTTTCATGCAGGCATACCTAGGAATCTTCTGGAGCGAGTTGGTTTCTCATCGACGTCGTTCTGCTCTCTCAGTTTGCACATGCATCGTTAATCTATCTCGCTTTCGTGTAGATGTACATCTTGCCATGCAGATCCATGTGATCACCCAACATCAGTCCGATGAGACTCACCACGAATTCGAGTTGCCTCGTGATGCAGGAGCCCCGAGTGACCCTTTGAGAACACATTGTGGGGGGTTTCACCCGACACTCTTCCAGTTATCCCAACCGAGACTGACATTGATTGCAGCCGCCATGGCTCCAAGCAGGTCCGATGTCTTCGGTTCAGCGTCAGAATGAGCTGCGGCTGCACAACCGTTGGCTTCAGCTCCCTGCCGTACTCCTGGCATCGAGTTGAGGGTCGAAAAAGGCCCAGATGAAAGGGGAATTGTGGGGATCGCTAGATGCAGCTTTCGGGTTCTTGGCATGGTTTCACGGACTACACCTGACTTGCTTCCCAGCTCGAGAAGATTCGAGAAGCTTCGTCCACAGCATTGTCACCAGGCACGGTTAGCGCAATTAAGTAACTTCTAGATCCTTCGAAGGCTTATAATAAAGCCCCATGAGATGTGTCTTCTTCACCAGCTGTTCGGGATTGGTTTTCATGCAGCCCTTTCCGGAATGATCCGCGAACGCCAAGTCTGGCAGTTCGCTTGAAGCTTCGGATCTGTGCGATATCGCCAATGGATGCACACTCAGGTTGTCCATGCAGTACGACCCCTATGCCGCCATAAGCGAGCTCAGGACCTGCTTGTTGCTCAAGACGTCATAAATTATAGTAGGGGCCTTATAGTGATTAGAGCAGGGTTTCGGATTATATTATACTGTAATTATGATAAGATGCCCTCAAAGGGTTAGTACGGGTAGTTATCAGTATATTCATAACTGAACTTGTGGGTGAGGCATTTGCTACGCGCAGTTCATCCAGCGCTTGCAACCCCTTCCCCTGATGCAACTACTTGGAGGTTCATTGGTATTTATGAGTAGGGTTATAAGTAGGGTAACTATACTTGTAACCATTTGTAACCCATATTTGGGGACTTATAACCCCACTGCTAACTACCCCTGAACCTCCAAGTAGCCCCTGGTTGCCTGTCGACATCAGCTAGCTGGGCAGGGCATCAGCATGCATGCAGGCACAAGGCTGGACGCTACGAAGGATGTCTCCTCAACTTGGTAACCATGGCTCGCCACACACTGGGGCATGGATATTTGGCATGGTGCCAATCATTTCAACTGACAGTTAGATAGGTCATGAAATGCAGAAGAGTTTTTTTAATGAAAGAGTCCGGACAGAGATATGTGTGTGTGTATATATATATGTACAAATGAGCAGTATATATATATATATATATATATATATAATATGAATTCCTCTATATGCAGGGAGAGAGAGAGAGAGAGAGAGAGAGAGAGAGAGAGAGAGAGAGAGAGAGAGAGAGAGAGAGAGAGAGAGAGAGAGAGAGAGGTCCGTGAGGTAGGAGCTTTGGAGTTTGCGCCAGCCCAGTAAAGGAACTGAAGTCGAGTTGTTTGTGGCTTTGTGTTTTGCGATGTTTTGGGTCACTTCGGCTTTGGGTAATTTGGGGTTTACGGTTAGGGAGGAAAGGTTTGGGAAGTTTAGGAGAGCGGGAAGCGGGAGGGAGAGAGCGACAAACAAATGTAGTGACAGAGTAGAAACAGCACCGAAGACGCCATGAAAGCAATCGACAACCTCTGCTTCAGGCCTTGTTTGCATCTTGAGGTTCATGCTTATGGAAGACCCGTACTTACATGCCACATATGGCATTTATGCACTGTTGCAGCCAGGCTTGCCAGACCCAGCATGTTGCAAGTACGAAGAAGCGTGGCCCCCCAAGCACGGAGAACGGCTGCCTGTGAAATCATGTTTCACTTCTGTTAGTCTAGTCAATACTGGACGATGGCAGGCATTCTGAAGGGGCTGGTTCCAATTGCCTGCTAGGTCACACTCGGTTGGTTCTAACATTGAAAACGACCTTCATCCATTTTTTGCCTAGGCCTCGCTTTCTGGTGCATGAGTATGCACAGGGCAAACCCGTACAACATACACCCCCATCCCGCGTGCACACCCTCTCGTTTCCACGCAGGGGCCAAAAAAGCCCATAAGCATAAGCATTTTATAGGGATATCCCTACCTTATAATGGGCTTCATTAGAAGGGGGGTTACATGGGATATCCCTATCCTAATTTTTGCTTATGTGCTTTGTTGGGGCCCTATCCACGCAGGACCAACATTCGGTCAGCTAGCCCAACACAGTACGTGAAGGCACGGGTCTCTGTCGGCTCTCTCGGACCAGAGTCTTGGCTTATGAAGAGGATAATCCTCAAGCATTAACTGATACATGTGTATATATATATATATATATGTACACAGATTTCAACACTGTATACATATCTGTACGTATGTATATATTTATAATATATATATTAATATATTAATATATATATATATATATATATAAGGTTGCGCCCCGACGGCACCCCCCCTGTTGGAACGGCTTGGACGTTCAGCTTCGGAGTTCAGTTCCCTCCCCGTAGAATCGTCGGGTAGTTTCGGCCTTGCCTTAGTTTAGGGTTTAGGGGTTTAGGGTTTAGGGGTTTAGGGTTTAGGGTGGTCATCCCCCCTCCTTTCCTGTGGGATGTCTTGGGCCTTCAGTTTCGGAGTTTACCTGTATAGTCTCCATTGTAGTTCCCTTTTTTTGGTTAACCAAAATCAAATCTCTATTATAGGATCCAAACCATAAAACTGGTTAACCAAAAAAAGAACTACAATGGAGACTCTAGGTAGTTTAGTTCGACGAGCGTTGCCTTTAGGCATTGAGGCTTCAGGTTTCAGGCCCTCTGGGAGTGGGGAGGGTGGGGGCGGGAGGGGCGCAGCGCAGAATGCAGCTTTGCTTGTTGATCTAGGCATGTTGTACCCATATATCATTGACTGCTGAGATTCCCTCGCCGGGCTTCAATCGCTGGCATTAACTGTGGTTCAGTGCCGCCACTGGTGAGATCCTATACGTTACATGATGGTGGTTAGCCTGTATAGCGAAGGTATTGCACCGAGTTTCTCTCAAGGCTTCGCCCTCAAAGCTAAGCCCTAAGGTGTAGGCTTTTTTGCCACCAGTAGCATCCCATTGCACCTCTTCTTTTCACCTGGACTAGCTTGTCATCCTTCTGAGTTGCGCGACGAAGCTTGAGACCAATGCCCTGCCCCAGTCCTGGATCCTATTCTGGACCCCCTGACTCGTTACCAGTGCTATTTCTTAGGCTTCCTGGTTTCCCTGCTAGAGATATACATAAGTATGGGAGAAACAAAACCGGAAGCCCTAATCAAAGTCTGAAAGGTCCCTGTATCCCTCCATAAGATGAGCCCGAGTCTCTTAAGGACTTTTAGCATACCCCACAAGTCCCAGTCTCATCATGAAGGCCCCTTATATGCCTTTATATAGATGGATATATATATATATATATATATATGTATGTTTATATGTTGATTTATTTGTGTTTTTCATTACTATTTTATTATATGCCCCTATATAAGCCGAGCCCTTCGTCTCGAAAGGAGCGTGAACCGGCGGAGACGAAGACCCGCCTCCATCCGAACGGGGCAAGGCGAATTGCCTGGGCAACCCGGCCGCTAATTCTCTGGGGCTCGAGGCTAGTATCAGTTTTGTCATACAGTACAACTATAGTCGCATGAAAGTGTACGACTATAGTCGCATGAAAGTATGAAAATTTTCTGAATGGTGACTTATTCGAGTATTGTTATGGGCTGCCCCGAGGGGTAATGCAGGGCTATGCTCATATTTAGCAACATTATCCCTGGAGGGTCCCGAATTACATTCTTTACGGTTGGATGTTTACGCTTCCTTCAGTGGTGCGAGGCCAAAGCTGCGGCTGGTGTGATTGCTTTGCCCATCCGTGTGCTTTTGATCTGAGCTTACCCTCCAGTGTTGTATGCCTGAAGCCTCACGGGGCAAGGAAGAGACTTCTCAAGCAACTGTAAACTGGGTTCTTGCTTATAGGAGTTATATAGGTGCAAGTTACGAATGTAGGGATTTAGCAAGCATTTGCAAAGGTCGAAAGTCTAAGACCTACCGCAGTAGCTGGGTGTGTCGTCGGCATCCGCGTGTCATTACTCCTAACCCTGGGGCTCCAAAAAGCCCAAAGTAGGTAGTGTTTATAGACTTTAGACCCTAAAGTAGGTCCTGTTTGTATACTTGGAGCCCTGGGGTGAGACTTATAGAGAAAAAAGACTTGCCAAGGACCTGTTGAGCTCCTTCGTCCTTGTGATGGACACTGTCCTGCTTCCCATCTCCTTGGCTTGGGACCTGCAGAAGGACGGTCTTAGATGAGCGAATATTGGCCATTGTTGTTCCTGTTAGTCTCCTTCTTGCAGTGAGTGTTGCAGCTGAATCTGCGACCCCGTTCTAGACACCCCTGGACGCCGGCTGTTTGTCTTGTGGCTAGCCGAGCTTGGCCCCGCGGCCAAACAAGCTGCATGAGAGGACACGACAGACATGCCCAGCTGGGTGAAGCTTGGATGTTGTGGAAGCTTTTTGAAGCTCCTTTTGGCATCTGGACAGAGCGTGCGGTCGGACCTACCACAGAACGCAGGAACATTCGGAGTTTCGCGGTCTCCCCTGTTTCAATGTCTCTCGCTACGTAACCTAATGTACGTAGCCCTGAGCAGCTGTTCCTGGAAACATGGGTGGCTGGATAGGGCTCTCAGACTTGTTCTTGGGAGTCGAAGGGTGCAAGAGGGCCGACTCAACCTGGGATGTGCCAGGCAGTCAGTGGCTGTACAGAGCATCCAAGGAATTTGGGCTTCTTCACCTTTAGCCTGCTCTTTTGGACGGTGGACATCTTCATCAATCTCAATACCGGGGCCTCTTCAGCTATTTAGACAGGTTTGTTTCTACATGTATGTTTGATATCTAAGGCAAACATGACCGCAGCGTTGTTACTCATTGCAAGGTCAACCGTGCTGCTAGCGAGACCCCCTGTCCCTCCGGCTCCTAATGGCATGTTGCATGGCGCTACATGAACCCGGGTTAAACTCTCGGAAGATCTTCACTGTCAGAATGCTCGTACAAAGCCGAAGCCGCCTAAAGCCACTGAGCTTCTCGGGACCATCGGCTGGAACGTGGGAAGAATCTCGGGTTGAGGGAATTTCGTGCATGTATCAAACCATATTTATCAGGTGTGTACACATACAAAATATATGTAAATATGCTGATGTATGTACACAGACGATATGTAGATGTACGCAGATGTACATGCACCACCCGTAAACATCGTATAGTACTGTGTGCATTGGCTTGCACTTAAACAGTATGCATGCATGCATGCATGCATGTATGCATGTATGCATGTATGCATGTATGCATGTATGCATGTATGCATGTATGCATGTATGTATGTATGTATGTATGTAGGTATGTAGGTATGTATGTATGTATGTATGTATGTATTTGTGTTCTGTTGTACGATGTTATGTTATACGATGTGTGTTCTGTCATGGTATGTTTTGTTATGCATGCATGCATGCATGCATATATGTATATATATGTAGATACCTATGTATGTATGTACGTATGTAGATAGATAGAGAGAGTGAGAGAGTTAGGCTAGTCTGCTAGTATTCGCTAGTATTGGTATGGCACCGGTTGTTGCTGATCTACCTGGATCTATGTTTACACACTCGTTGGCAGCTTCTGTTCAAGTCGCGGTCCTGTTTTGTGGGTTTAGGGATCTGAGTAACTAGTAAAAAAACCCTAAACCCTAGTTAGGAACCCTAAACCCTAAGCCCTTGTTTCACATGGCAGTATTGGCCATGGAGCAAGTTGGGGCTCGTAGTAACGTGTGCGCCGTAGTACTTAGACTAGAAAGGGGGCCTTAATAATAGGAATAGTTTTTTTGTTTGAGGGGGGAGGGGGTGGGTATACTATATGATCATAAGGAAGCCCCAAAACCCTATTCTAATTACTAAGGCCCCTACAAAGGTTTCCTGAAAGTGTTCCTTTAAAGGCTTGATATTAGGTTTAGCAGATGGCCTGAAGGGTTCGAAATGATGAGAATAGGGTTCTTGGGTATACTGTGCTATACTCACCATAAGGAACTCGAAGGGATCGGATAGCAATGTAGGAACCTGATTAAGAAACCTGGGGCCTATAGCCCCAATATAGTAGGATTCGTAGGAACCCTGATAGCCCAAGGTTTCTTCATCAGGTTCCTACATTCTTATAGTACCCGTATAGATCCCTTATAGTAACCCTTATAGACCCTTTAAAGGAACCCGATGCTACCAAGTGTTCAGGCTTCTAAATGGTGAATCCACAGTGGAAGAAAGCCGTTTTGGAGTGGATCCAAGGGTGATGAAGGGTGGCTGCCGTCCCCAATTCCAGTGGTTCTTTTGCAGGAAGACTTGTGACTTGAGCACCAAGGTGTTTCACAAAGGGCAGCTTGTCTTCTCGAAGCAGCTGATTTTCATGCAGCAGCTTGGAGAGAACCAGCTGCCTTGCCTGGCACACTCGACTGATACTATAGGGGCCCTAAGGGGCCTTAATAATTATCTATACTATTTTTTGGGGCTCCTGGTTTTAATTATAGTATAATGGGCCCCGAAACCCTGTTCTAATTATTAAGGCCCCTATATTATGCCACATGCCCAGTGTGCTTGCAGGGTTGATTGGTTTGGGTAGATATTGACAGCTGTATGCATGCTGGCAACATGTGCACCGAGCTAGTGATTGAGTGCAAGGTGGGGCAGCTGCCAGCTTGAACCGTTATCTTGCTGTCAGTTCGATACAAGTGGGAATTGCAGCAAGTCTGGCTCGCTTGAGCTAGCCATGGAATGTGAAAAGCAGCTTCGCAGTGTCAGTACCTGCATGTACTGCCGAGGTATATGCGAACCGGCCTCTTCCTGGACGTGGCCCTCGTGGGACTGGACTGCGTGACGTGGCCGACGACGATCCAGTTTGGGATGTAGGGTTGGAAGTACAGGTCTCACAGGCTCGGTGTTCAGGTTTTCCAGATTCATGCGAAGGATGCTTGTAAAGGAAGCTGCTTCAAGATTTTCGCATCGCGGCCCCGAGTGTTGCTTCTTCAATGGATGCATACATGCTCCTGTTTCTTTTTTTCTCGCCAGGATGCCAGCAGCTGCATGAGCGCCCGTAGGTTCGGGCTGCGAAGCCAGGAAGCCGAAACATGCTAATGTCTTGATGTCATCCTGAACTTCCTAAAGCTCTAGTTACTCCAAAACTGTGCCTATGTGCTGTTTGGAAGCTTGCGGTTCAAGCAGGGTCGACAAAAGCCGTGGCCATGCATGAAGCGTCTGCGCCGCAACTCTCACGATCTCTACCGTGAGGGTTTGTTTCGGGCCAGTACTGGCATCGAAGTGCTCTCCGGTTTTGGCCAGGTTTTTGCGACGGAACCGGCGCCGCCTCATGCATTTGACAGAAGCGAACGTGTCCAGCATGTGGATGTGTTTGTCAGCCATTCTCGGAAAGCCTCGCGTTGGCAGAAGTACCTCGCAATGTGTGTGTTCCTCAACATGGAGATAGCTTTGAAAGCCACTGCTGTTGCCACAGCTCTTGCTGTGCTCTTTGCCACTATGTTTCCCGACCTGTCCGTAGGAATGATATTCTTCCTTCTGATGGATGCACCAACAGGGGTGTTTGTCATCTTCCTGATGTTCGGGCAGCACCTGACAAACGGGCAGTGGGGCCCTAGCCTTTGGGTGGATAAGATATGTGTGAGTCAGACAGACGAGGAAGCCAAGCAACAGGGCATTGCCGGGCTGCCTACAGTGGTGGCCTGTTCCTCTCGGTTGTTAGTTTTGTGGGACGACACGTATTTCGGCCGGAAAACAGATCCCGTCCTCGCCGGTCCGGCGGGACACTATAGCCCCAATAGTGTAGCGAAGTATCTGAGCTTTTTGTTGCCTTCTGGTAGTGTTGTACGACCCGATGATTTTGACCCATTTCGGGCACAGCGCGTAGGAGAAGCCTCGAATCCAGGACCTCCTACCGGAGGAGGCAGTAGATCCACCAACCGACGACGACAGGAGTCAGGGTTCGATCTTGTTCGGATTCTTGCTCTACTCCAGGAATTGCTCAGCCTACTTGGAGGTAACCCTGAAGCATTGACTCAGTTGACAAGTCTTTTGCAGGGCACGGCAGGGGATCAGCGGCAGGGCTCTGAGGACTCTGGGGATGCCGCGACGACAAATCCGACACGCACCGTTCAGGTCGCTGAGCGCATCGGGAAAGGAAGGGGAGCGCCTAGGACACAACCCGTTAGCCCCCCTAAGACCCCGAATCCGCCTAGCAACACGGAGGATGCAACCTCTGGCCCCTCTAAGGCCCCTAAGCCTTCCGCCCCACTCGTAGAGTTGAAACTCCGGCAACAGGATTGGGATGGTCCTGTACTCTCGCCTGCTCAGGTGTTCGCGCAATTTGATGCCAAGAAGCCTGACCTTAAAGCTGTAGTACTTGTGCAGTCCAAGCAACAGCTTGAGGAACTTTGTACTGTATCAGCTGCCTTCCCTTCGGCGGCCATTGCTGTTGTTGCCTGTGGGGACTGGGATTGGGTAAGCAAGCCCATTGAGAGAAAACCCCCCACTAAGGTATCATTGCAATTGCTCCGTGGCACGGCCACGGTCTCCCGAGTGACGAGGCTCCACTTGCTAGGTGCCGAAGGGGCCCCTAAGCTTAAGCAGATTACTCGCAAAGCCACCGGCGTTCTCAAACCGGCCACCACTGAGGTGCTTCGCTTTGTTGCTGATGCAAAGTACATTTCTGAACAGGCCTTTGCTGAGTTGAAAGCCAAGCCAGCTGCATCCATTAGGCTGTGGGCTGCGGCTCACATCCCCACCGATGTCCTTGCCATCAAAGATATGTGGAGTTTCCGGGTTTCGGGCCCCGCCGGCTCAACCAAGGAAGTACTTTCGGGATTGGTCCCAGTGCAAGCGGATAAAAAGGATCTACTCTTGAGCCTTAGTGGCCGTGACCGTTGGTTCATTGCTTTGCCTGCCTCCAAGGACCCAGTGTCTTGGATTAAGCGCGAGCAAAAGGAGGAACCCCAAGACTACCTAGCCCGTGCTTTTGCTCTCTCCAAGGGTCGAGGTGTTGCCCGTGGGGATTCTAGTCTAGGGGTTCGCCTTACTGCTGCGGAGCATGCTGCAAAAGGGAAGGTCCTTCCCCACCGCACGTATAAGATTTGGCCCGTGCCTGCCGATTGGTCCCAGGAGACTTTGGAGCATGAGCTGAGCCAATTCAAAATGACTGACCTCACTTTTCTTGCTAGGCATCCGTGCAAGGGAGGAGTCAAGTTCTTGTATCGTGCCAAGGCCCAGGACCTAGAGCTTGCTGTCATTGAGCACGATAAGGGGTCCACTCAAATTGTCATGCAGCTGCATGCCCCTTCTCGGGGACTCGGTACTCCCATTAGGCCTGGTCGTGGATCCTTTTCGGCGGCTTTACGTCCCGATAAGCCTCGCCCTGTTGATGCACGTCAACAGCCCGATGAATCACAGCAAGGGACAGAGCAAAACCCTGGCCACAATCGCCCCGCAGGTGCTGACTCGGCAAACAAGCGCGTTGCTGTGAGCACCCCGGCACCTCAAACACATGTTTTACCAGAGGGGCTGACGCGAAAGCCGAACCCCGGAGAGGGTGATTGCCTTTTTCATGCACTGAGCCAGGCGACTGGCTCCAACAAGTTAGCCCTTCGTGCTGCCATAGTTTCCCACATTCGCCGGTATGAGTCTAGGTATGCTTCCTGCTGGAATTGCCTTGCGCCTGAGAAGGACGATGTCCCTCTCACTGATTTCGCTGCTTACCTTGAGGCCTTGGCCAAACCTGGAGCTTGGACATCATTGTTGGAAATCCACGCGGCGGCGCGGCACCTTGATCGTCCGATTCTTGTGTACTCGGAGCGCATGGCCTTGCAGGTTTGCAACCGCTCGGGTAAAGCAGGTTTGCCTATTGTGCTGTATTACCACAATGCCCATTACGAGTTGATCGAGGGGCAGGTTCCTTCTGAGGCGCTCGCCAAGGCGGTGGAGGCGCCGAAATGTGGCTGCAAAGGAGGCTCTCTTGAGGGAGAGCCGGTACCTTCGGAGGCGGGGTGCACTCGGGCCTCGGCGTTTTCGGGTTTGACTCGTTGGTCTGATGAGACTCGCCCTGGAGCTAAAAGCAAACCCCTTCTCCCGGCCCGGGAGAAGGGGTTTGCTTTGGCCACCCAATCTGCCTCGTCACAGCTTTCTCTAGCCCAATCTTTTGCACGGGGGCGGGCTAGGGCTGCGGCTTCATCAGCCTCAGCGCATGCTGGCTCCGGGCCGGCTTTTCTTCCGGATGATGTTGCTTCGTATGTCACTGGCCGAGCCCCCTTTGAGCATCAGGCTGGTGTTAACGACATTGCCAATCTCCAGGACCTTCGTGAAGATTCACCGCCGCCGGAGGCCGCACCGTTGAAGCGCAAGTCGAACAGGCTTAAGCGCACAGGTTGGGAGTGCCCCATTTGCCATTGGACCGTGCGCACCAAGCATTGGATTCAGGCCAAGGCGCAACATGTTGCATCTTGGCACCCGCATCTTCGTAAGTGGCTCAGGCTTGAGCGGCAAACCAAGCCCCGTGAGTTTGGACCCCGTCACCCCACATACATTGCATCAGCTCGTCAGCGCGCTGCCAATGTTAAGAAGTGTGCTGCCGTGAGCCGACATTTGCAGAGAGCCAAGCATTATGACGGACCCCACTGTGTGCAATTGTTTCGGTTTCCGCTGCTCAATCGGAACACCCACACCAAGACGGGAAAGGTCATCAAGCCTCGTAAGGTTGGCCCGCCCGCAGCCATTTGCATCAGGTGCAGGCGCACCGATACCAATTTCGATAATAAGCTCGATAGGCAACCGTGTGAGGCCCCGATTGAGGGTCCCAAACGGGCTCAGCGGCTTCGGCGTCTTTTGGCACTTGTGCATAACGACGATGAGCCTGTTGAGCAAAGGGAAATCGCTGCCACTGCATTTCGGCTCCTCTCTCCCCCGCCTGCTACCGAGGCTCAGCTCCAGCACGATGTGAAGCGGTTTCGGTGGCCCCTGCCTGAGGTTCGGGTTTCTGGGGGCCATGGCCCCTGCTTTATGTGCAAGAAATGCTTGCGTGTCAGCCGTCGGGCTAAAACCATTGTTGCAAAACCGTGCCTGGGCCGACCCACTTGGAGCAAAACACGGCGCTCGGCAATCCAGGTGTTGCAAGCCCACTTGCCGTGCAATGATCCCGCCAGGGATGCTCGAATCAGGACTTTGTTGCACCTGCTCACCGCTGCTGAGAGCGAGGCGCCATGACGTCGCCTCCTTCACAGCTTCGTTTGGGGACGCTTAACGTCCGCAGCCTCAGCACCAAGCTGGGGGCCGTTTTATCGTTGATGAGGGCCCATGGCCTACACACACTTTGCCTTCAGGAAACTTGCATTCCCTTGGACTCGCTTCCTGCTGTGCATCATGCTGCTTCGCAGGTGAAGTGCTCCTTCTTCCCGGGAGCTCAGGCCTGCAACTCTCGCGGGACTCCTTATGCCGGGGTTGCGTTTCTCACTCGTTGGCCGGCTCAACCTGTGGCCATCCCCAACTGGCCTATGGCCGAGGGCCGTGTTGCTGCACTTCGGGTTTTTCGGCCTCGGGCTAGACCCTTGCTCACGGTGGGCGTGTACTTGCATGCCAGCGATGCGACTTCTGCGGCCTCTTTACTTGACACTGTGTTGCCGTGGGCCGCTTCTTTGGGCGAGGATTTCTGCGTGATGGGTGATTTCAATCTGTCCAAATCCCACTGGCCCACTTCGTCCTTACTTGCCTCTGGCCAGGTGTACGATGCTGATACGGTGATCGGTGATCCTTCCTCGCTCCCGGGCACTCGCCGCAACGCTAAGGGTCACCTCACGGGCAGTGTTCTTGACTACATGCTGCATTCGCCTTCTGTGCATGTGCGGGCCCGTGGCCAGGAGCGGGCGGTTGCTGACCATGATCTGGTGTATTACTCGCTGCCGATGCTGGGGCTGCCTGCTCGCCTTACTTGGCCCCCGCGGCCTCGTCTTACTTCGCACCCTCCTTCGGCTGACGCCTGGACTTCTGCGTGGCCTCGGTTTCGCCTTACTTTCGAGGCCGCTCTGGACTCCGGTGATTTGAATGCTGCGTGGGCTGCTCTTTCTGCTTGCCTTGCGGAGGTGGTTTGTGACCGCAAGCCAGCAATTGCTCCTGAACAGGCTCGTGGCCCTCGTGCTCGCCCCTGTGAGCCTCACCTCAAGGCCCCTACATACCAGTCCATCCTGGAAAGACGCCTGCGTCGCCTCGGGCGTCGCGCTCTTGAGTTTGCGACTGACGTTGGCAATCAGCCTCTGTTTCAAGCCTTGCTTCGGTCTGTGATGGATTTGGGTCAGGTCTTTCCTGAGCTTCATTCCCTGCCTTGGGGCACGCCTGAGGCGGCGCACAGTGTGTTCCAACTTGCGGAGACTCAGGCGGCTTTCGACAAGGACACCCGGCTTCAGCACTGGCGCGCCACCACCGGTGAGGACTTCGCTAAGCTGTGTCAGTGGGTTCGCTCCACTTTGCCTGTGGACGCCCCTTTGCAACCCGACTCGGGCCTGTGGGACGCACCTCTCCACCCCCAGCACCAAGCTGAGGCCGCGCGCACTGTTTGGAAGGAGCTTTGGGCTCCCACTGCACTCCCGGAGCCTGAGGGCTTTGATCGGTTGCGTCAGCTCGTCGGTGTCACTACGGAGTTTCCACTGCCTACTGTCACTGGTGCTTCCTTGTTTGCGCGTTTCAAGGCTACGCTCAAGCGTTCTACCGGTCTCGACGGCTGGGGTGCTGCTGCTTTTGTCTCCGCCGGGCTGGGCTCCTGCGAGGCTTTGGCCTTGTTTTGGGCCGCGTGTCTTCAACATGGTGGTCTCCCCGCCATCTGGATGCAAATCCGTGTGGCTTTGTTGCCAAAGCCGGATGGTGGTCTTCGCCCCATCTCCGTGGCTTCTGCTGCCTATCGCGCCTGCATGACCTGCCTCCTGCGGGAATGCCGCCCTTGGTTCATGTGCTGGGCTGACGAGGAATTGGTTGGTGGTGTTCCGGGACGTGACATGTCCCTCTCTCACGACTCCCTCTTTTCTTCGTTGCTTGACGCTAGGAGCCGTCATCGTGCTTTTGTTGGGGCCAAACAAGACGTGAAGAAGTGCTTCGACACGGTCCAGTGGGACCTTGCTTTACAAGCCTGGACTTGGCTTGGTGCTCCCGCCCGCTTGGTTGCTTTGCTTCGGGCCTTCTACGCTGGTCAAAGCCGTTGGCTGGCTGTGCAGGGCCACTTCGCTGCGGAGCCCATAACCCCGACCAGGGGCATCCTTCAGGGATGCCCGGCAAGCGTGGGGCTTTTGAACTCCCTCATGCTGTTGTGGGTGCGCCATCTGCGTGCTGCCGCTCCTACTATCTCCCGCTCTGTTTTTCTTGACGACAGGGCCCTTTGGGGCACTGGACACCGGGCTGCAGCCGACCTTTGCACCGCTCTGCAGGCTGCTGCTGAGGTGGACAAGGCGCTTGCCTTGTCTACCCACCCTGACAAGCTTGCGTCCTGGGCCACTCGGGCCCCTGCCAGACGCGTTCTTGAGTCTGAACCGGTCCTTTGCGGCCCTGTGGTCTCTTCTTTCAAACTGCTCGGCATCACTTACCGCCTTGCCACGTGCAGTGGTGCAATTGATGCCGCCAGCATCTCTGAGGTTGTTACCAGACGCTGCCGTCGCATTGCCATCGCCGCCAGAACTCTGTTGATGCGGCGCCACCTCCTGCGTTCTTTGGTGATCAGCCTGATTGCCTGGATTGGCCCCTGGGCCCAGGTGTCTGCCAAGACCTGTTCTGGCTGGGCACGCTCTGTTGAAGCTGTCGTCGGGCGTACTGTTTCTTCTCGTTCCAGACTGCTGCTGTGGTCGGCCTGGGCACAGCCTCGTTTGAATCCGCAGTTTGCGCTTGCCTTTGCCGCGATTCGTCATGAGCTCAGACGTGTTGGCAGTGGGCCTCAGCCGCGGCCCAACTGCCACGCCTGCCCTTCTTTGGAGGCTTCGCTGTCGGTGTTTGCTTGGAGCATTCTCCCCAGCGGGGTTTGGTCTACCCCTTTCGGCCAGTTTAGGCCGGGTTTTCTTTCTGCTGCGGTGGCCCAGCGCCTGGCTGAGGACTCTTGGACCAGACAACAGTGGGCTAATGACCCTAAGACGGATGGTCCTTTGGATGCTCAGCAGCACGTTTGCTTGGCCTACCACCACAAGGCCGTTTTGCAGTTCATGCCTGGTTGTGAGCGCCGCGTCTTGCATGCTGCTGCTTTCGACGCTCGTATGCTTCAGCGCAAAGCCATCCCCTTCGATGCTTGTGCTTGCGGTGTTGAGGTCCCTACGAGGACACACGTTACTTTCGAGTGCTCCGCCGATCCCTGGACGGGCACGCAAAGATCCACTGCGGAGCGCCGCCTGTTACTGCCTTTAGTCACGGGCCTTACTGCGCCCGCCTGGTCGCTGCCGGAGGTGACCGAAGACCTGCTGCTCGGACTGTCTGAGGCTCGCATCCTAGATGGTGCTCTCTTGGTTGCTACTGACGGTAGCGCACTTCAGTGTCCCAAGCAATGCGACCTACTGTGGTTCCAGCACGCTGGCTGGGGCATTGCTGTCACTGCGAGCTGTGGCTTTCATGGCGTGGTGCCTGGCCTCGACCGCTCTTCTGCTGCTGCTGAAAGATACGCCTTGCTTGTGCTGGCCTTCGCTGCGCATGCTTTGCAGGCTCCTGTGTGTGTCTATACAGACAACGAGGCGCTGGTCACTTCCTTCAAGTCCCAGGTGCCGCCGCGAGACTTTGCTGCTTACTGGTGCTTGGTTAAGCAGTTGCTCCCCGCCAACTCTTCGATCCACTGGGTACCAGCCCACGAGCGCCACCCCGAGTGGACTGTTTCTACGCCTGGCACAACTGAGGCGGAGATTCGTGCATTGAACCGTCGTGCGGACGTCTCTGCTGGCGCAGCTACGGATCCGGCTAAGCCAGCTTTCGCTGCAGCGCGACTCAGTTGTCAGGAGGCCTCGTCATGGGCCGCTGCTGTTGTCAAGAGGCAAGTTTGCCGTACCACGTCTTGGCACGAAGCTGTCATGGAGCGCATGAAAGCTTCAGAGATAGCGCCGTGAGTGTTTCACTGTTTCGCTAATGAAGGGCTGCAATCCCACCATTTTGGGCAGGGTACAGTCTCGCCATACATACATACATACGACACGTATTTCGAAAGGCTTTGGTGCAATTTAGAGCTATCTGTATTTGCGAAATGCAACGGAGTGAAGAAGGTTCGATTTCTGCCGCTGTGGATGGCACCATGGCTTCTGACTATGCTGAGCGTTACTTACGTCGAGCAGAGGCTCCAAGCGCTGGCATTGACGACGAATCCGTATCTTGGTGACGATGTGGTGAGTCATCGAAAGACAGACGTCGAGGATGTGGGCTTCGGCTGGCACCATTTACTAGTTTTCCAGGAGTACACACAGGCATCTATGGTTTTCTATGTTTTGCCTGCTGTGGCGAGTGTTGTTACTTTCCAGCAGAAGCTGGATGGGCACAAGCTCATGCTCGAGCATCTGAAGTCCTACGACATCCGCGCAGCAAAGTGTGCCGTCGAGAGCGACCGCCCAGTTATCGAAGGGCTCGTCGCAGAGTTGTTCGATGGACTTGACGATCCCATCGTTTCAGTTCCTGTCGAGACGGACACCTCCGTCACAGAGTCAGACCCTAATCTGCCGGTTGCGTCTTTGTCATTGTCGCCAGAAGATCGGTTGGCAATACGCTCTGTCACTGGCTACCTGAACCACGAAGACTGTTTGGAAACGTTTAACGATTACGTGCGTGGCAGTGTCAGGGAGTCAGTTCTGGAAGACCTCGGCCTTGAGACTCAGGTCTCGTGGAGTATTTGCGTGCTGTCGTTTCTGCCCACTGTGCTCTACTGCTTGGGATTCTCATGGGTTTCCAAACCTGCATATGCCATGTTGGGCTTTACATCATCCGGGCAGATGCTCATGGTTGTCTCACTTGAGTATGTGATCTTTGGTATCATGGCAATGCCTGCTGTCCATCCTCTCTTACTCTGTCTCATGGATGCTTTGACTGCCTGCACGGAGGCGGGATGTTGGCGAGCTTGCTTGTCCTTGTGCCTGGCACTTCTGGCCTACAGCTTCGTGCTCGCACTCTTCGGGCTCGTGGCCGGTGCTCTGGAGAGCTGGGTTATTGCGCAGCAGAACATTTTCTTGGTAGTCTTCCTTGTCGGACTTGGTCTGCTGATGCTGCTAAGCTGCCTGGCCTTCAGAATGGACTGGCGGCGCATGCCACACTTCTCCTGCCGGTGTCTCAATCGAGCGCCAGCCGCTTCCGCCTACGGTCCTCTACATTGATTGAGCTTCTGTGAGAGTAATAGGGGCCTTCATTAATAACCAGAATAGGGTTAGGCATAGAGAACCCCAAAATAGCATAGGTAAGTATTTTGGCCTCTACATTTCTGCTTCACGCGCAGCCCCCTCATCTTCTCGCGGCAGGCTCGTTGGAAGCCTAAGCACAATGAGATGATGATGTTTCCATGCCTCCTGCCCCGCCAAAAATTGGCGGCGAATTGATGACGCGAAGCCCAGCGCTGGACCTTGCGTTTAAATCGTAAAACTATGCAATTATAATACCCTAGTTAGGGCTCCAGTTACCTGAATAGTAGGGTTACTAACCATATATTCTATACCCCCGTAGCCTACTATTTAGGTTACTGGAGCCCCAAGGAATATGCAGCCCAAAACCATGGTCTAACCGCAATGCCTGGATACTGCAGTGAACCCCAGCCCACGCACAGAGAACTGGCCCAGGTGACGATCGCCAACGTGCTTCTGGACAGCACCGCGGCGCAAATCACTAGATCATGTGGAGTTGATGAAAGTTGCTGTTGCTGCATGCTGCACCGTCGCGATTTGCGGCATACCTCTCGAGCTTCTGTAGCCACTTCTCACTGTATAAATTCTTGAGCATGAACAGGCGGGCCCCGAAAAGTGCTGGGCATCCTCGTCAGTAGGGTTGGATGTGGGGTTAACATGAGTTCAGCAAGGGTTTATACTATCATAAAGCTGTACCATGTGCTGAGACGTTCGCAGTACATAGCTGCATGTGCTGCCACTCCTGAACCCCGGGTGTGCTTGGGTGCTGTTTCTACATGGGTGGTTGTCAGAATTATGGTCCCTTTTTGGATCCCTAACATACTACGGCATCAATTTTTTGAGGTACCCAAAAAAGGACCATAATTTTGACAACCACCCACATGCTAGCTGCAAGAAGCCCTGAACACTAGAGGCCCTCTGCTTACTGCTGCAACAGTAGGAGTCGAAACCTAATCTAATTTCGGGCCCTTAACAATGCTTTACATGATTTTTTTTGGGGGGGCGGGGTCCTTAAAGTACATTATACCCCCAAGCCCGTTTCCAATCATTACGGGCCCTATATTAAACCTCAAAAAGTCGCAGTTGGCTTTGATCAGGTGCCATTGTTGACCTCAGCTTCTCCCGATTTGCACGGATCGTCCGCATCTTTCGCTTCATTCGGCTGCTAGGCATCGGTTCAGTGGTCTAGGGTTGAGGGCGTATTTTAGGTACGGCCCCCACTCAGTAATAGTGGAATAATATTCATAATATAGATATAGTAGTACCACTTTACTATGTAGCCCTATTATAGAATCTTACTCTACATATGGGGGCCGTACCTAAGGCTTATTGTCTAGAGGGGGGTCGGGGTTAAGGGGTTTGCGTCGTTTCGGATTCCGTGGCTTCGAGGTGCCGGGGGTTTCGGGGTGTTGGGTCGTAGGTTGACGCCTTGGGGGATCTGGTATGTCGGTTTGTCGATAGAGTCTGACATAGAGATCAAAGAGCTTTGTTTGTTTAAAGTATTTCGGGGGGGCGAGCGAGGGTTCGAGATCGCTTGTTTAAGATGTAAACTTGCGGTTGTTGCATGTCACGGGACCGGTTCGGCTGTGAACCCATGCCGACAGATGTCACAGAGTTATTTGCAAGTTTCATTATATGCCTATGTATCTGCCCAGGCAGAGACAGTTGGGTCACTATCAGGGTTGCTATAAGACTTGAGCGAGACCCACTACTCCGCTGTCGCAAACCTTGCACCCTCCTGAACCCTAAGCTCATTGACTGCAAGTCTTACGGCATGGACTCTCCGGTACAAGCTCACGATGATTGCGGCCTTTTTTCAAGACGTTTTGGGTACAGTTATTGTGGTACGGAAGTCGTTGGAAGGCTAAGGGTGCAGGGCTTCAGGAGAGTTCTATGTGTATGTGCTTACAATATGTGATTACGGTGGAATTGGCGACAGCTTCACTGGTGATGCGGAGCTTTCGTGCCTGAGATCCCGGAGGTAAGATAGAGTTTCCGTTTTGGGGTCCATAGGGTCCGCCTAGGGACCCAACAGTCAGGGACTTGGGTGTTGGATATTGGTTTTGTAGGTTAGTATCTTGGCGGTTTTATGATTATGGTTATCGTGTAATCCAGGACCCCTCAAGTACCCTTTAATGGAGCCCTTATGGGTCTAGGATGACCTGGCCTAGACCCTAAACCCTTTCTGGCACCTTTCTGGGGAAAGCACTGCTCGGCTAAAAAGGCAGAACGGCACTTTACAGGCCTCAGCCTAAGGAAAGGGAACGTAAGCCCAAGGGCACACCACCACCCTAGGCAAGGCAAGCCGGAGGGGCTAGAAACTGACAGCATGGCTACAGGGACTCCCCGCATCGCGCAGGTCGCTGTCATTGATGTCACCAGTCAACGTTCGTAGTTCTCCACAACGACGAAGCCCGAGCTGCAGAAAAGAAGCATATGACAGGTATAAAACCATAGACAACGTCAAAAGCAACGTGTCCAATAATTAAGGTGCAACCGCTGCAACGTCCTTTGGGTAGCCCGGCTCAAGCGTCTCCGATGCGCCCGATTGCAAGATACCGCCAACCGCTGATGGAGGAAGGGACACATCCGGAAGCAATCTGACGAAGGGTAGCCAAGATGCAACTGCCAACCGGCAAAGACCGTGTGCAGGCGGGCTGGACTGCGGCACACTGCTGCACACCATGAACAAAGCATCCCTGTCACCAACAATCTCTCCGAACATTTGAGGTCAAACCCCCGTCGTACCAATGATGCCACTCTGCGTGTAGACCAACTGCTTGGCCAGGCAGACCCGCAGCCGCTGAACACGTGGGAGGTCCACCTCGAGAAAGAAAGACGGAGAAAGCATACCAAAACATCCAGCAGCGCTGCCCACCAGGCAGCCCAAACAGAGCTCACGGTCTTTCCAGGAATCCAACCATGGCAGACCCAAAAACCCGACCTCGGCCTGCACCGCAGCCCAGAGGGAAACCCCTAAACCCTCGTTTAGGTTCAGGTTTGGTAGGGTTCGGGGGGTGTAGAACCCGTGTCAGACCTGCGGAGTAACAAGGCAGCCCCAATGCCCAATGCCCCTTTCAACCTGAACCTTACGGCCGTACGAAAGACTTCTTGAATGATCTATCCTTGTATCTTATACCTTAGATGTACATATTTATACATGATAATATATGTGTATACATACATACATACATACATATATATATATATATATATATATATATATATATATAGATATACATATTATGTATATTACGTTGGACGCCGAACCATTGAATTGCTTACATGCCCACCTGGTCCTCTCAAGGTTGATCAAGCTCGCCAAAGTGGAAGGTTTCATCCAAGCTGCTTTGTCGGTTTAGACTTTGTGGCCTTCTGACACCGATCTTGTAATCAACAAGCTCGAGTCATTTCCAACACTAGTCCTTCGAGTTCCGATTTTGCGTACAGTGTGGTAAACCCGACATGCTTTTTAAGATGTTCAGTAAGGTCCATATATATTAAACCTGAGCTCTAAGCCCGGCTTTCTGATGTTCACGTCTGCTTCGAGCGGCTTAAGCTCACGAGGCCACGGCATCTGCAGTTGTACTTAGACGTTTGTGTGCCTAGCGTTACACGGCTCTGTGCGAAAGCGAGAGAGAGAGAGAGAGAGAGAGAGAGAGAGAGAGAGAGAGAGAGAGAGAGAGAGAGAGAGAGAGAGAGAGAGAGCGGGGGGGAGAGAGGGAATAGGACTCATTCAGGCTTGATATAAGGGTGAATCGCATGATGGGCTTTGGAAATCCCGTCAGCTAGGCCAAGCTTGAGATCACCAGGAGACTGCCGAGAGACGGTCCGAATCCAGCAGCCAAGAATCTCGAAGCATCCTGCTTCAAACACCGCCAGGAGCGTCCGAAAGCTCTACCTTTTGTTTTATTCTTGTGTTCGTTGAACCCTAACCAACTAGGCCCGAACCGCTAAACCCCCCATGCTAAACCCTATAGAGCCTTCAGACCTGCAACGAACAGGACGATCCTCGATAGGCTATGTATGCAGAAAACCTTCCATGCATAGATGCCCGAACTGTATGCAGAACCCAAGCCGTACGCGTCCTTAAATCCTGAAATCTAAGGAGTATGCAGCTTCCACTGGCCGGCAGTGGATCATCATTTGCGCGGCGATTGCCAACTCGATGATTGCAGCTTGTTGCAAGCAGCCGGTCTCGGGATTTAGGATCCAATGCTTTTAAGTCGCGTTTGAGGTTCCTTTAGGGTCGTGCAGTGTCTTCTGTCTTAAATTAAACCACCCTTAGACCTCAGCCAAGGCTGCGATTTTGACAGAGTGGAACGAGAGTCATTTACCTTCTCCGGTTTGGCCGGATTCGTAGCTACCGAGCTCTAGAAAGATCTTTCAGTGAAAGCCTGGGCCGGTCGAAGCTAATGTACGAACCTGACTAAGAAACCTTGGGCCTTTGTTGGGGCCTACATCAGTCGCATACTTTACGTTTCCTCATTGTAGCTACACTGGCTATCTTGCTCCGTCCTATTCTAACTATGAAGGCCCCATATGAAGCCCTCCCTAGACTGTACTCCGAAGCAACGCAAACCCGGCCAAGTCCGGGCTCCAGAGCTTTATCTTATGCTGTCTCTTGTTTGGCAGCACCTGGAGGACGCGATTGGTGGGTTGAAAGTGTCTCTGCGGAACAATGTGCCCGCACGAGGTAGTCTCTACAATTGACAGAACATACGTCTGAAACATCGACGCTTCCATGAAGTGTCCAGGCCATTGGGCTGCTGAATCACGTGCTTGCGTGCCTGTGGTTCTGGCTCGGCCGCACTCTTGCTCCTATTCCCGCAACAGCTGGGGTGCAGGGCCAGCCCTAAACCCGAAACCCTTAGACCCTATGCCCTGCAATGCGGGCTTGTCCTTGCTAGGTAGGAGGGAAAAACCCCAAAGGTAAGGTTGTGGTTTGCATAGGTAAGGGTTTGTGGTTTGCATAGGTTGTGTTTGGATCATTTGCCCTCGGGTTTCAGACTTGAAAAGCAACCTTTGCGACACACCGCTTTCGGGTAGGTTCTCCGATTGAACAGCAGACAAGCTTCAAGAGTTGGCTTTCATGGCCATTTCTGGCAGCACATGTTTGGCAGCACATGGTCAGTGATGGTAGCTATAGTGCGAAACTTTCAGATCCGTCTAGCACTTTCTAGGTGGAGGGAGGCTGCAGAATGATTCTGTATCACCCGCAGCCATGAAGATTGCGGACCTAGGCCAGTGAGGGCCAAAGCAACTGGATCGCCATCGCAGGGGCAGAGCATCTCGCCTATCCTTGTAACATGGGGGCCTTAATAATTACTTGTACTATTTTGGGGATTCCTTACTAATCCTTATACTATAAGTATAGTATCATGGGCCCCAAACCCGCATTCTATTTATTAAGGCCCCTAGCGTATCCTTATAGGGGGGACGCTTCGGGTCAGACTGCTTTGCCGGACAAGGCCGGACGCCACCTTTTCTGAGCTTCAGAGAGCAAGAGCAAAGGGTAATGTAGGAACCTGATTTAGAAACCTTGGGCCTATAACCCCAAAATAGTACGGTTCATGTCAGGAACCCTAATAAAGACCCAAGGTTGCTTAATCAGCTTCCCACATTACCGTAGTCTCTCAACTCTGGTGCTGCGGACGAGTAGTAGACAGCTTCCCGTGGATGCTAGGAGTGCTAAGCTCCCCCCTCAACCCTAAAAGGCCCTAAGCCCTTCCTCCCCCCTAAACCCTATAAATCCTAAACCCTACAAGGTCCTCAAACCCTAGAATCCATCATATCGACTGAGGCAGCTCACCGGCTTCCAGCAATACTTGATCTGCTTTCGCCGCGCCACTTTGCATCCTTCGTGAGAGGTTTTAGGATTTATAGTCAGGGACCCCAAAAGCACATAAGCATAAGCATTTTATAGGGAAATCCCTACCTTATTGGGCTTCATTATAAGGGGGTTATCTGGGATATCTCTATCCTAGTTTTTGCTTATGTGCCTTTTTGGGGCCCTATATAGGGCTTGGACAATATAATACTAGGCATAGAAGTTCACCTGAGGCACCGTGCGGTTTCATTATTGCAGTTTGGGCTGATGCTGGCTGGAAAGTAGCTTCAGATATCTCCCCCGGTGATACTTAAGCCTAAACGCGACCCCGCCAAGATCCCCAAACCTAAACCCGAACCCAGTGCCGGATCTCTAGTGTGAGAGCCCTTCAGCCTATGTGCTGGTCGCCGCGTATCAGGAACCTCGCCCAGGCATGTCCGAGAGTGAGTGCTGAAACCCGAACCCACCCAGAGACCCAAACCTACACACCCGAACCCCCCCAATAGATGTTTAAAAGAGGTCCTTACATTTAGGGTTTAGGGTTTAGGGATATAATATATAGTTAGAGCGCACGCCAGTTACGAAGACGATTTTCCCTTATTCTGAAATTCCCAGAGGGTTTCGGGCTCCATGGCATCTCACTGAGTTAGAGATGCCTGGTATCCACGCGACAGACCAAGCCAGGCCGCAGGTAAGCCGGAGACATGACAAGTTAAACCCTAAGCTGGGGTTGAAGGTTTTAGAGTTCAGGGATATCCGTGCGGGTTGAGTTTTGCGGATTGCGGGTTTGGCCTTGGATACCCAAATCAAAATTCTTCGCCGTCTCAGGTAATGTGGCCGGTGGTGCCTGCACCTATCTCACCGGAAAGTCACTTCGAGATGCTTGGGCCAATCCTGAACTTGAATTGGTCAACTTTGGCTGGTAGCCTTGCTGTAGCTGCCACATGTCCGTGAGCCTCACTGATCCCTCCTTTTGCTCACTACATTGCTTTGGACCGGTCAGTTACAGAAAACGTTGGACATTTTCGGTTTGGCTGCCTGCGCAATGGTTGAGGTTTGATCTTGCGGACCATGGAATTGGATGTAGGGTTTATAGGGATGGTTATGTGGAGATATGGATTTCAACAGCCACCACGAAACCCAGATCTCGGACACGTGCTACATCTGGCTGGCCGGAACTGACCCAAGAGCAACATTAGACTGGACACTGGACACCAGCGAGCTCAAAACAAATAGGATTGCGGCTCTGTATCGTACGGTTCAATGAGCGGGAACGTAACAGCTGTTTCCAGATCTTTTGCATGTCTGTGAGAGGCTGCGAGCCAATGGTTGCAGGTTGGACTACTAACAGTGCAAAGCTTCATCTTAAGCCTTTTGAGGAGACTCTTTGACATTGGCAACAACGTCTTGTGCATCTTGGTCCTGGGCATCGCGATATTCAAAATCTCTGCCACGGTGCCACTTGTCTGCCAAAGACTTTCGAAGCCGCTGGGGTAGCCGCCGTCCTACCGCTGAAGGATCAAGTCCAACGTCCGTAATAGGGAGTATACCACAATGCCCATACTGCAGCGACTACATCCCTGAACCGTTCCTAGCCTCTGCAGCGCTCCGAAAGTTTCCGACTCGTTTCGAACCGTTCCGAGAATGTTCCGAAAAGCAGCTTTTCCGAGAATGTTCCCAATGACTCGTGGCGGAACGGTCCACACGCTGTGGTTTCTGAACGGAAACGGGCAGAGGGCCGCAGGGCTTGCCAAGACTCCGGACAATGCAGGACTTCGTCACGAGCAGGTTAAGACATCATGAAGAGGTAAATTCCAAGTTTCCAGCATTCCGGGACTCTGAGCTAGCTTACGAAATCCTTTGAGGGACCTTTCGTGTATGCTTTGAGGTTTTATCATATTTGCTGTTTTGGTCGGTTAATTGGTCATAGGCAGTGCTTCGTATCCAGGATCGTATGCCAGCGAAGTGGCTTGGTACTGGTAGTTTGCCTGAAGACTACCTCGAAGCTGAGTTGCACGCAAAAGAATGAAAGGTTAGAGCTGCTGGCGATGAACGAGGGCCGGCTGAAACAGCGACGAGAGATCCGGCGCCCCTTGGACCAACGGCCAGGTTGGGGTAAGGAAGTTAATTTAAGTTACGATAATAGGAAGCTATAGTAAATATTATGGCTTCCTTGTTATAGTACATGGTAATTTAAGTTAAAGCCCTTAACAAGAGGTTGATATCCAGGAATCTTCGTCCGAGGGAGTTTTTACAGCACTACAGGGCAGCCCTGCGGACGGGTGTCGATGCAATGTACCGACAGCATGTGGAGGAAAACGGAGATGGAAGCATGTTCAGGGTGCCAAAGGTTAGTTTTAAGATGTACTACTGTTGTTGATCTAAATCCTGCATTACCCATAATAAGGAATATGCCATAATTCCCATAGTCATAGTCTAGGGCCCTTAACGTCGTGCAGGATTTGTATCATCAACCGCACCAAACCATAAACCCTAAACCTACCATCGCTGTCAGGCTGCTTTGAGGGCTCACAAGCTTGAATGCCAATGCTGAGCCTGTAAGGTTAGAGACTATTGAGGCTGTTAACGCTTCTAGGACCGCATCACCTCTATATTTATTTGGGTGGTTGTCAATATTAGGGTTCCTTTCTGGGGTCCCTAACATACTACGGCACCTATATTTTTTGAGGTACCCCAAAAAGGAACCCTAATTTTGACTACCACCCATATGATGAATAGATGTGCAGGAAAACCAGTGTAAGCGATTAAAGGCCCCGGGCCCGGGCCGCACCTGTGGAGCTTTTTGTGCGCGCACGCAAAAAAAAAGTTTCAGAGCGAGCGGTTTTTCAGCGACCGCAGCCTTCTGGCAGCTTGTGGTTTAGGGTTTAGGGTTGTAGGCGGGATGGTTTGTCCGCCTCACGCATGTTGTACGAGCTCCAGCCGGTACAGCAGCATTTCAAGATATGCTGTAGCGCTGTAGCTACTATGGTTATATGTCGCATGAACATTTGCAGGGGAATTAGATTGGGGACTTGGGAATGCATGTGCACAAGCGAAGGCTACTTGCGTTCTCAGAAAGCTCCATTCGAGCTTGTCTCACGGGTGATGAAGTTCGTGGAGTACAAGCTAGAGAAGAATCCCGGCTGCAACACGAGGAAGCCTATTGGTTGAGGGTTTAGGGCCTATTTCAGGGCAAAACCCTGAGCCCCCTGTTTGGGGGCTTAGGGGTAGCAAGGCCTTGTAACACCCGGTGAGGCCAGAGAATCAGACAAAGCCACTCTGACAAAGTTTTGCGAAGGTTGAAGGTTCTGCAGACATGTGGGTAGGCCTTGAGAAAAACACGGACATCTGCAAGCGATAAAGCAGCTCGGATGCCCTCCGGCGCTCTAGTGACCCTAGTGCTTATGTCCCGTAGCTGCTGATTAAGGGGTGAAGCAGATCCCAAATCCCAGAAGCCACAGAGGCTGAAAAAGCATCCAAGGCTCCAGCCGAACAACTACAATACGTCTCTCATCTCCCTGACCTTGCAGACAGAGCTGTACGTCAACCAGCGTTCCTCATTTTTGCAGGTGCCACTTCAGTTGTAGCGCAGAGTTGATTTGCCATTTCCGCTGTCGATGAGACACAAGACAGGGGCATGTGCACGTAGCAATAGTGTGTCCAAGATGGTCATAACTACAAAATGCAGCGAGACACTTGCAATCCACTTCATGCAGCGATCTCACAGCCCCGCGGTAGGTGACTGCTACTGCGGCTGCTGCTGCTCCTTCTACTTCTACTTAAACTACTACTACTACTACTACTACTACTACTACTACTACTACTACTACTACTACTACTACTACTACTACTACTACTACTACTACTACTACTACTACTACTATTACTACTACTACTACTACTACTACTACTACTACTACTACTACTGCTACTACTGCTACTACTGCTACTACTGTGCTACTACTACTACTACTACTACTGCTGCTGCTGCTGCTACTACTACTACTGCTACTACTACTGCTACTGCTACTGCTACTGCCACCTGCTACTGCGACGACGACGACGAGGACTACTACTACTACTACTACTACTACTACTACTACTACGACGACTACTACTACTACTACTACTCCCACTCGTACTAAGAGCAACAAGGTGACGGTGTGCTGTGAGAGCAGAGTCTGTAAACAGGATAGTGTAAGAAAACTGTTGGCAGTAGCAGTCCTGCGGATCACAGCAGCACAAGCTTGCAGCAACATCATAACCAGTCGGGTATACTGGCACCAACATGTTCAGCAGTTGCGTCTTGCGGCCAACGAGAGGCCAACTAACCACTCGCACGAAACCTTTCAGGTTTATGGTGCAGGGCATGACCGATGATTCCATGGGATGGCCCTGACCCTGGCCATAGATCTCACATCTCACATCTCCGGGCTTCCGAACTGCGCATCGCATCGCAAGGGTATCACAACGTTTCGCGTACACTCAGAACGGCACACTCCCCGGCACCTGCGCCTTTTTGCATCTCCTGCAGGCCCTGCCGATTTGCCGGCTGGCCAAAGAAGTCTTCCCAGAGGCCTTGCCTGGGGTTCAGTCTTAAAGGAGCTGCAGTACTCTACGGCGAGCACATCAGGTATTATAGAGGCCTAAATAAGTACCAATACTATTGTCGGGGGTCCTTATAATTACAGTGTAATGGGCCCCGAAACCCTATTCTAATTTTTAAGGCCCCTGCATTACCCAAAATCAGTGACCCATAGAACAGAACGGATTCTTCCGATGTCTACAGTCTCTAGAACCCCAAATCCACGTAGCCTATCGAAATGCTAACTAACAGTCTTCCTTGGGGCTCCTGGTGATAACCTAACTGTAGTTAATAATTATAAGGAGGCTTCGAAGCCATAGCCTGGGTTCTGTGCCATGAATATTATATAAATTACCTCAACCCAAGTTACCTACCTTTTTAAGGACTTCTATAAAGAAATCATAGTAGGGAACCCTCCAAAGGTAGGTTCCTCAGGGTCCAGGTATATACACATACGGACAGTATATCGTTCTTCAGAATGGAACGCCGAAAGGCACCCGAGGTGATATCCTTCCCACCCCGGAGCCGCAGTCCTGGACCAGGCTTCGGCTTGCTCATACAGGGGCCTTGATAACAACCACTACTATTTTGCGGGGGTTCCTTATCATGGTTATATAGTTATATAGTATAGTGGGGCCCAAAACCCTATCAACAAATGTGAAGAGGGGTGTTTATTAGGCAAGCATCCCTCTCGCGCAGGCGTTCGCAAGCCTATGTGTGGCTTTGAAGCGCATGGTGTGCGAGAACCGGGAGGAGAGTCGATCCACCCATTCTCGTCAAATCGTTTGATGCATTTCGACTCTGCATACCGGGCTTTCCCCAGTTTATTTCGCATGAAACGTGCGTTGATTAAATATGCGTCCGGCCCGGAAACCCTCAACTATAGAATGGGATTTTTGGGGTCCCATGATACTATAATCATAGTAAGGAACTCCCCAAAATACTACTGGTAATAGACCCCAAACCAGCCGAACTCGGAACTCCTTCAGGCCGAAGCCCCTAGCGTGCCCGAGTGTGCCGACAGCGCAAAGGCCTATAGTAGTGGAGTAGGCAATCTTTAACCTTTTTGGGGTAATATAGTCCCTGTATAATCCCTATATAACCCAAGGGGGTTAACGTGTAGTTCCCCATGATACCCGACAAGTAGGAAGGGGTTTAGTTTTATGATACTTCTGGCCTTGAAGGCAGCAGCAAGGGGTGTTTGACACATCGATTCCTGGAATGACTGTCATACATGCTCAGCATGTACTTCTCTCAGAGAAACACCCCACGTGTTTGCGATGGGTTCTGCTAGGAAAGAGTGCGCAGACGGCTCGGTCAAAGCAGGGCCTCTTTCAGAACGGGTTCGGTCATGTCCAGGTCTGTCACTGCTTCTGTTTCGTTAGCAAGCAGTTCTGGCATTTGGAGTCGGAGCTAACTTCTTTGTATTCAGCAGGAGGCTGAATTTGCCTTCAGAGAGTTTGCGGTCTTGGGTTGTTCCATTCATCATGTGGCGCTGAGCCTCCTGATCCGGCTTCGCAGCAGGAGATATTCATTGCCGGGACGATTACCCACAGAATGTATGTAACGGTGGCCGGCACCTACCTGCTTCAGGCATCTTGATGGCACCAGGGCACGGGTGGGCTCACTGAGTTCATATAGTCGATGATACATAAACCATGACAATCCGTTAATGTATAGTAGGCTATAGTAACCATGCAGTACGGCTCGCTGCAGTGAGATAATCAAATGTCTGCAGGACTGGGTGTGAGTGTTTTCTAGGCATATAGAAGAGCAGCATGTTTGGGCGGTGGGCCATGATGTTACCTTCTTCTTGGGGTTTAGGATTGCTTGGAATAACCAAAGCAGATCATTGTCCTTCAGTTGTCCGACATGGCATGTTGGCCAAAAGAGCCGCGACTAAGAGCCGCGCATGAATAGGAGAAATGCGCCCCATGAAAGCCTCCGGTGCGCAAACCCAGTGTCAACGCCGTCAGCGCAAATTCCTCACCCCAGAAATCCTGAGACCAACACCTGCCCCATGAGAGGGCTTCCAGAGTTGCATCTTCGGGATGAAACCTTGAATCGATTACAGTACTTCCTCAAACCCTAAAAATCTTAGCTCCCTGAACCCCAACCCGAACCTGAACACGGAAGTCAGAATGCCAACTGCCAGGGGATAGAAGGAGATTGCGAAGAGTCGCAGCTCACAGGCTTCATGGGGTCAACAGGACTTGTGCTTGGTTTTTAGGTCTGGACCATGTGGTTTGGGATTTCGTACAGTGTTTGCGGCACGATGGTGCTGGCGGCATTTGTGTGTTTGATTTGTTTGTTTGCGTTCGTCGAGGTCGCTGTCGCAGGACTCCTGATTCTGCAGCTCATAAGGGTGGGGTTTCACCGTTACACCTGCATGGGATTGAATAGTTACAGTTGTTATGTTGTTGACTTCGGATGTTTCCATGATTCTCTTCTTGAGTGCGTTTGCCTTGCGAAAAATTGTTAGAACTGGGTTGTTGGGCATATTGTGCTATATGCATGATATCGAAATGATATTAGCAGAATATATGCCCCTACAAGCCTATTCTAATCATTACGGCTCCTATATTACTCTGTACGCCTCGCCCGCCCATCCTGCTAACGGCTGGAGCAGAGTGTAGGGTGGGAGCTCGAAGATTTAGGGTTTAGGGTCCAGGTAGGTTTTGGGGATGGTGCTGTCGCTGCCGAACACGATAAGTGTGCAGATACTGATGCATGACATGTACAGATGTGAATGAAGACTGTGAATGATGCCGCTGCTGCCAGTGGTAATGTTGAGGGTGTGGTCCATGATGGCTGTCAGGTTGTGATGATGATGATGATCATGGTGATGGTCCCGATACCTTCGCGAGCACGCCTTTGCAACTTTGACAGCTTCGCTTACCCATTCAGATTTGACAAGGGAAGCCTCTGAAACTCCAGACATGAAGTCTCGGCAGGTGTCAATATCCTGGAGGAGTTCTCTCTCTACATGGCCGCTTTGCTTGAGTTGGATAGTTACCGTCTTTGCCTGGCCTTCTGCTTGGATTGCGAGGCAGCGTGGGAAGGCTTGGACTTGTTGTTGACTTCTCAGGCCGCCGTGCTTCAAGCAGGTCTCTCGTTCCCGACGAGTTCCAGAATCCCGCAGACCCTACCATGGCTATTCCAAGACTCCCACATGGGAGTTTCCGAAAATAAGGGACCCTAATTCAGTACCCTCAATAGTAGGATCCTTAATATAAGGACCCCCAAATCAGATACCCAAATATAGTGCCCTAAATATATAGTAGGACCCTTAATACAAGGACCCCAAAACAAGGTACCCCCTAATTTTCGGAAACTCCCAAATCCTCAGCTCCTTCAGCCCCTAAACATCCGCTAAGCAATGCTAAATGGGTGTTTTTTTTCAGTCGGAGGGTTGAACCCTAAACCCTAAACCATCACCCAGACGCAGAAATTTTCTGCAGCTCCGAATGCTCCTGTTGTCACGTGTTCAGGTGAGTTTCTGGTTGCAGATCCGCACAGTGGCTTATGCCAACAGACCAGCTTATGCTGTAATGGCATATTACTGGTGAGGGTGGATAACTTTGAGGCTTTTCGCGGGACGTCGCCTCATGTTCATGGCGACTATCCGAGGAAGCAGTACCCCACAATCACACTCTTGCCGCCCGAACCTTCGGCGAGCTTTTCACCTTGGAGGGCGACGATTTGGCGACTGGGCCGCAAGGAGTGTTGACAGTCTCGACAGGTTCAGGGCATGCAGACGTTCGCCGCAGATGCCTCAAAGATCTCATGTTGTTCTTCTTTATTGTGCCATTCGACCGATGATTTTTTCGTGTCACCCTGTGCTTGTGAAGCTGAGTGAATGGATCGCAGGGGCAACATCCGCGGACAAACGTAACGTGAAACCCGCGTCGCGTGGCCTTGCCACGGATGCGGAAGGTAGACACCTGCCCGAAGCTGAGCACAGTATTTGAGCAAGGGCAAGTTAGCTGGGGATAGCAATGCCGCAAGAGGCCCGAAACCCTACACCCTACACCCCACTATAGTCGTACACCTTTCCTGCACAGATACGTCAGCCCCGAGCTCCACACCCATCGCGGCTTGCTGGCCAGGTGCGCAGTCTTCACACATCGCCTGGTTGCGCCGCAATGTTCTTCGAGTATGCTAAAGAGTATGCATCGATGATGCCCAAGGACAATGGGAAGTCGCACCTGTTCAGTGCGCAATTACAGTAGCATCAGTAGTATTGAGGTTTCTGTTTTGGACAGACGAAACTTACATGATTATGGCCCAGTGCTGGATGACCGAAGCCGCAGATGCGGCTCTACTTTCGCTTTGCTTGCAGATAATCATGTTAATGCGTATACATGGTTTGTATACATGTGTAAACATGTGCGTATTTACTATATGTACATTCATTCACTTGTGGAAGCACGTTTTCCCGTATGCATGAATGCATGCAGGCCTGCATTTGTGTAATGTATGTATTTTTGTACCTACGTAAGTATGTAGTAGGTATGTAGGGACGTAGGTTTTTATGTAGGTGTTTTGTATTTCGAATCGCTGATTCTGATTTGGTAAGCTGTCACAGGGCTTGTGTGCCAGGTGCTTTGAGAAACGTGTCACTTCCCACACACCTCGCCTGACTTGGTCGAGAGCGAGCATGTGTGTATGCATGTATGTATTTATGAAACATATCGTTGTATGCATGAACTATGCATGCATGCATGTATATATGTATGTATACATAAACATAGAAAACAATACATACATATATATTTATATACAGATGTATACACGCAGACATGCTTAATTGGTTACGCTGATGCCTAAATACACGTCATCACGCTTTTAGGCTCATTTGCATTGTGTCCCCCTGTTGTATGCGAAACCTTCCATGACGGCAGCGTTGCTCGTTTGGAAGGTGTTGTAAGCATATGCTTTGTTGCATAGTACGGGCACACTTTCACATTCACGAACATCTACACGCATCTCTATATGTATATATATATATATTTATATGTATAGGTTTAGAGCTGTATCTATCAATACATGTCCGCTTGTGTGTGTGTACATATATACATAGACACACATGCATGTACATGCCTGATCACCTAATCGTTCAACATGTATAACTTGGTTTGTGATGTCTGTGTGAATGCATACATGCCGTGCGTATACGAATATGTGCACAACTGACAGCATCGTACATGCACGTACACGTGCCTCCGTACCAACAACTCACAAGGAGCCCGGCTACTTGGACCGTGCTACACAGGCTGGAGAGCAGCATCCACTATTGAGCACATGCCAATGGTGTTCAGGCCTTTTAGCTTCACGCTTGAGACCCATCAGGTTTGATGTCTCACGTTAGTGTTCCTCAGCGTCGCTTCTTGTAGGAGAGTAATTTTCATCTTCTTGTTGATGGTGAGCAATCTCCTCCAAGATCATTTGGTTTAGTCTTAAGGGCAATTCTAAGTCTTTTGGATCCTTCGTCGTGCAGGCCAGCACCAGAGCAGTTTCCTGTGTA